TTAATGGAGTGTTTTGTTGTGGATTGTGTTTAGCCCTTTTCTTGGTCAAAATTAGTTAAGTCTGAATTAATTAGAAAGTGCAATGTCTAGTAGGAGTTTCCAAATTATGCGGTTGAAACCCCCCCAGGTGAATTAGAGCTGACAGGCCTGCCCTCTCTCCTTGGAGATTCTGTCTGTGTTCCATAGAGGGAGGGGCATGAGTAATGCTATAATTATTCGTTCTCTTCTCTTTCAAAAGACCTAAAAAGACAGTAGAAAGTTTTATAATGTAACATGCTACCACACAGGTATGTTAATACAGAGACAATTGAATGTATGTATTGATTAACAAAATTTCCTGAAGAATTTTGCTCTCTCTAATGGTAAGATTCCATTAAAATTATTCTAGGTGAGAGCCCAAGATTTGTTACTGTCTTGGCAGGCCTTAGTAAGACTCCAAGATTTACTGTCTTCTTTTTCCTCGTTTATTTAATTACAGCAATGGTGACTAATAGACATAATCATCTTTTCTACCAGACAATTCTTAGACAAAAACTAAGTCATTAATCATACAACCCTAGCCCTTACTACCCAACTTTCTAGCCTTCAATCCTTGATTCTCAACATGTTGCATAGAAATCCTCCTACCTCCGATCATCTCCCTCACACCAAAATCATCCTTAAACCACAATCAAAACAAGCCTAGGCCCAACATAAACCCTAACTACACCTTCCAAATTGCAAACCTATAACTTAAAGGCCTCGTGCACCATTTTCCAATTGAACAACACCCCTAATTCCCTTGCTTAACGCACCCCTGCTGCATCACATAATTTACTTCATAACATCCCGACGTTCTCAATAACTTCCGAAAGAGCATCACCCAGAGCACTTGGAAGATCACTTTTAAGTTGTGTATTTATAGTTCAAAACTTAGAACAATATTCCTCAAAATTCACAAAATAAGTTGAACCGTGTTATTTACCGAAAAAAGTCGAAATCTAGTTTGCAAGTGCTCCAATAACTAAAATTTCTACAAAACTCAATTCTCTTCAAATGAAAAAGGTTGGCAAACAAATCAGCTTCAGACATATTATCAACTAAGACCAATTATAAAAGTTGCATTTAAGCAATTCAATTTATATGACATGCAACTTATATAAAACAAGAAGACAACTCTAGTAATTCATATGTTGACAACAAAAATTGAATTTCAGTTAATTACTTTAGGAGGTAAAGGAGGACTATGAGGAAGGATGGGCAATCCATAGAATTGAACTACGCTAGTCCCTTGTGTGTTTTACATTATGCTTGCATTTCCTATCAAACTTGATTGAATTCCTATCTTATTTCTATGAATAGATTATGATCATTTCCAGAGTTCAAAAAATACCAATTTTACTTAAATTCTTAGCAGTTATGCCGAGTACCCTCCAAAATACAATATTAAATTACGTGACCAGATAGGATAAGCATAAATTTACTGTAACATTCCAAAAATGGGACTACAATCCGAAATTGATCAATGTGATGATACCTGATGCCATGGTATCGTTAACCGCATCAAACATTGTCTCCACACTTTCTTCAGAAACCATTTTATCTCCAAGTGATGCTTCAGATTCAACAGTTCCACTTTCAATACCTTTATCTCTTCCAGATGGCCTTAAAATCCCATGCAAAGAGTGCAATGGACTCCTAAACAAAAAACCCTACACCTGAAAAACAAAATTCGTTATACTTTTGCTTAACATAACTGCATCCAATTGATACAAAAAAACCCCACTACTTATCCGCACAATTAACAATCCAAAAACTCAGAAAATAACACACTCAATAACTAAATTCTCAAGTTTTGACCTTTTCTTGATAGTGAAAAATGAGCAATGACACCAAGTAAAGCAGCAATGGAAGTCCCAAAACCCACCAACACAAATGTAGGCAAACCTGCACAAACCCAACTCACTAGTATAGCTCTTTCCAGAAAAAAAAAACATATAATTCACATTAGTTACATTGAACAAGTATCCTAGGTGCTCATACAAAGTCCAAAGACCGAACCTTTCTTCTTCTTTTCAATGGGGGTTTCAATAATTGCCCACCCGTTGTAGTCGTCACTGACATTTTTATCCGGAGATACCCACGAAACCAAGAGATTCTTCTCCGCAATGGAAGCAGATAGAAATAACTGTCTAGGTTTTCTGGTCTGATTAGAAATGGGTCGGATGAAATAGGGGTTGAGGCACTAAAACGGTGGTATAGAGAGCGAGTGTTGGTAGGAGCCAAGAGAGACGAGTGCGATGATGCGTAATAGAACATTTTTGGGTAATTGTTCCCAGAGAAAATTAGGGTTAGAGTTGAGAGAGAGAGAGATAGAGAAGGGGGGGGGTGGAGGGGGGGGTAGGGGGGGTGGGGGGGGGGGGGGGGGAGGGGGCTGGCGCTTAGCTTTTGGAGGCTTTCTTCATAAACGAAGCGTAAACTTTCCTTTTTTTTTTTTTTTATACGCTTACCTCAAATTAGAGGAATGTTATACGAATTTGAAAAATAGACTTAAAATTAAAATAGATCATTAATGTCGGATATATCTCTCAAAAGGGTGGACAACATTCGAATCAGGATGCCTTAATAGTTTATAATTCAAATTTCAAAAGATAAATAAAATGACCCTAATAGTTTATAATTCAAATTTTAAAAATAAATAAAATGACTTTTATTATTCGCAGTTGAGATCGTTTTAAATTTTACTTTAAAGTTAATCTAACAATTAATATTAACACCCTAAATTTAATAGAAAAAATAGGTTCTTAAAAGTGTGTTTGAGATGATTTTTAAAAGTATTTTTAATACTTATAATTTATCATAGATACTTTAAAAAAAATAATATTTGGAACTGCCCACTACCATCACTACCACCATCACTCTCATCGCCCCACCACCCCACATCACCATCACCACTACCACTCCTGTCCCTTACTACCATCATCGTTGTCGTCACCATACCACCCCTTATTATCACCATTGTTGCCACCCCACACAACCACCTGATCACCACCATCCTCATTACACCCACCACCGCTGTCACCACCACCATTATCACCCCACAACACCTTCACCATTACCACCACTACCCCACCATCACCACCACTATTACCACTACCACTACCATCATTGCCCCACCACCATCACCACCACTACCACTATCATCATCGCCCCACAACCATTATCCCCACTATCCCCACCATCGCTACTGCACCCAATCATCATCACCATTGCTATCGCACCTTATCATCATCATCACTATACTACCATCACCCTTATCACCCCCATAACCCCACCATTACCCCCCCACGACCATCACAACTACCACCATCATTGTCAACCCACCACCATCACCCCTACCACTGCCACTACCCCACTTACACCCCCATTCCACCCTTACTGCCCCATTGCCACCATCGTCATCCACCACTAATTGATACTATTGTCATCCATTACCACCACCCATTACCCACCACTATCATTATTTTATTTTTATATTTATTATCATTACCGCCATCATCCCATTACTACCGTCGTCCACAGTCAGCACTAACCACTACTATTTTTTTCCACTATCATCTTCCATCACCATTCGTCATTTCCCACCACTACAACCACCCACTGTCACCTACCCCCACCACACTTACCACCACTGTCATTTGCCACCACCTATCATATTGTCACCTATAAGCACCCATCGTCACCCACCATCACCATCATCACCGCCCACCACCACCACCATTGTCACTCACGACTGCCACCACCACTAAAGTTGTCACCACCCACCACAATCATCACTGTCTCCCTCCCCATCACTATTGTTGCCCACCACCATTAATACCACTCACCTCCATTACAATTGGAACTTAAAATTTTTTTATTTTTATTTTATGTTTATAATTTGATTTTGAGTGAGAATACAAATATGTTAATTGTTGACTATTTTTTTTATTACTCTGTACCTTCAGGAATGGGGAATAACTAATTATTTAATATATTACATTTGTTCCCCCTAAATTTTAAAAATTTAAATAATTGTACTAGTTTTTTTTTCTTTTTAGTATATTAGTAGTTCATTAGCCTTTTAAAACAAATGTTTTACTTTTGGATTGAGTAAATTAGATGTAAATGTCGTGATCTATTTATATATTGGAAAAAAAATATAGAATGCTTCCTATCTTTTAAAAATAATTGTATAGTTATCATTTGTTATTTTTTTCAATTTGTTTGTAGTCTATACCTAATAAAACATGATTGAATACAAAAGTTACATGTTATAACCCAAAAACATTTTATGATATGTCAAATATGTAATTTCTCTATAAGATCGAAAATGATTTTAATAATATTTTGTTACTATATAAAAAATAATTTTACTATAGACTCTGTGATTTTACGCATTGGAAAAAAATTAGTGAGAAATCTAACTTATAATTAATTACTTATAAAAAATCTTAGAGATTTTAAAGAATATTGTATTTCACTATAATACATGATTGTGTTACTGTTACAAATCTTAGCCTATTTTGTCATTCTTGCATTCATTTTTTTGGGTATCAACTAGTGAATTATTTTTAATTATATTCCCCCCCCCCCCCCAATCCTCATTCCTGGCTTTGCCCTTGCTTGAGCTATCATTAGAGTTATAATCTGTAAATATTAGTTTAGAAAAAAACCGGTAAAGATTTTCTCATATTAAAATTTTGAATTATCTATTTTAGAAAGTATTTTTCTAAATAAAGAATACCTTTAATAGGAAAAAAAAATAAAAACTCAATTTTTTAAAAAACTCCAATAAGCTTTCTATTTAATTAAAAATAGTATGTATACATGACCTAATAAATTTGCACGGTGTCTCAGACGCAGCAATCATAAGTTCAAAAGACGCATGATTTGCATAATTTGTAGTTGTGAAAAAATTTAGAGACCAAACCAAATAGTGTAGAATTTAGTATTGTTCTAAAATTTATGTCACACACATACTGTAATGCCTTGAAAAGTGAACCACCCATTGCTCATTATTCTCTAAAAGGAAAGCATATAAATCACACTGTCAAATTGTACACCAAGATCCTTCAACTACATTAATATGTACAATAGAAGAACCAACTGCAGAAATGCTTCTTCAATCTTCAGGCAAGACTCCAGTACAAACTCATACTTTCATGAGCCAACAAACACATGAAGTTAAGGAAAAACAGCACTCTTCATATTGCCCCAACATCAGTTTCTGCCACTAAATTGCTCAAGAACAAAGATGAACAAAGCTTGAGCCAAATCGGTGGAACTTGATCCCTGAAGACTTACAACATATCTTAGTAACGGATGCCTCGAGGTCGATGTCTTCAATCCTGTAACCTCTGTCCTATAATCTATCGTAATCTCTGTTTTTATTGACTTTTTCTCAACAGATCAAAGGAAAAAAAAAGTAAGAATGATAATTATACTGAAATGTTTCAAATCAAGAAGACAAGGACTTGCCGTTGGAATACATCATCTTGGTTTGTGACATTTGGTACTTTGGTGAGATAGCAGCTAATATTACAACACCACTGAGCAGAGCCAACCCGAGTCCTAAACCGTTGACAACCATGGACTCTGTACCACGCTTCAACACACTACCCCTCGATTGCAAGAAGGTCAATTTCTCAAGAAGGCCTGTCTCGGCTGTCACCACTGCCAAACCATATGTGTAAAGACCAAGGAAAATGTGCCAAGGTAGTATCCGTACCCTTGCTGTTCGCACCTCCCCTCTGTGCCAAAAGCTTAAGAAACCCATCAACCACTGCACCAACAAAGAGAATACATTTAAGATCAAAATGGTGTCCCTTGCTAACCAATAAACCGATTCTGAGAAACTCAAAACCTTCAACATATCGTTCATAATGTGTTTAGCTCTAGCTAACAAAATTTAGGTTCTATGAAATCAGCGAATCGCAAATACCTTTATTTGCTTATGTTTTGCATCAGACATATTATCCTCTCCAAATTTCTACAGAAAATAAGCATATTTATTTTGCCTGCATATAGTCATCGAAAATTTTAGGTGGTATATTCTTGCTCATCACATTTTTGGGAGAAGGCGACACCAAGCAAGACTCAAAGACTTTTTGATTTTCTATGAGGACAGCTTTTTGTATACTTGCATCCTTTAGCAGCTATTTTTTATTCCAATTTTAATTGTTACTCTAATTTAAATCAATGGAGAAAGGCATTGTGCTCAACATTGCTGCATTGGCCTCTTAAGGCTCTGAATCACAAACACAAAGGGAGTAAACTCCAAGTACACACCAAATCAACCTTCAATATTGATCTAATCTGCTTCAATATTCCAATGGTAAACATGGTAAATGCCACCAAACTAAACTTTGAACAGTCTAAAACCATTATCTTCATGATGATAGACCCAATTTTGGCTCAAACTAATAAAATATATATATAAAGATGCTTATACTCAATAGAAAATTCAAACAATAATGCAGTTTGTTCCTTTTCAATAGAAATGTGGGCCATAGTGGCATCATCACATAATTGTGTTACTCTTAACAAAACACCATCCCAAAGCTAAATTATAATTTAACTTGGTCAAGAATAAGAAATCAATATTGAGGGAAAAAAAATTAATTAATAAAATAAAACCTGAGCTCCAAACAAGGAGATACAGATCAGACCCATCCATGAGTGCAAGCTGAAGAAATTAGCCACAATCCCATCTTCTCCATGAAACTTTGTCCATATCCCAAAAACCCCAGATGCCAAAGCCACACCTTGAAGACACAAGTGCACTGATTTCTTAAAATTTCTCGAACCAGGCAACCAACTGTGCACCAAAATCGCTGAAAACACAAAAATCAATCAAAACCCAGTTTTTAAAATCACTTCCATGTTCCAGAAAAACAACATCTGCCTCTAGAATTGTAATTTCTAGATTGTGTCACTACCTTCTCCGCTTATGAGAATGAACCCAATCACCATAAATAAAGGATGAAGCACCTGTCAAATAGGAGAGAAACAAAAAAACCCATCATTTTTAACTCAAATGCAAATGCATTCCCTCACATATGCATGTAGAGAGAGAGAGAGAGAGAGAGAGAGAGAGATTTACAGCGTAGATGAGGTCTTCTTGGGAGTGAGAGTGAGGGAGGAAGCTAGTTTTGAAGTGTAGAGCCCAAATGAGGACAAGTACTGCGACTGTGAGAGCTGAGATTCTGGCAAATAGGAGAAGAGAGAGTGCTGAAGTTGAGACTTTGGCCATTGTCTGTACGGCAGACTCAGTAGTCGTACTCAAGACTGTCTCAGCTCTCTGAAAGTGGGTAATGCGTAGTGGGGAAGGCTGTGAGTACTTACCCCAAAAAGGTTAGTGACCGACACAGTTGTAAATCCATTATTGTATTTAAAAACTATGGAGTGAAGCTAAAGAGAAGCCTTCAAATCTGGGGACCGGTTTGTTTCGACCATAAATTTAGATGGTATAAAATTTTATATATATTTTATTTTAATTTAATAATATATTATATTCGGTGTTAAAGTATAATCTTAACTTTTTCTTTATTTGTTTATCACAAATATTATCTGTGTAATACCTACTTAAAAAAGTCAACAATTATGGCTAACCAATGTAAAAAATAATTTTAACCTTTAAAAAGTTAAAAATTACGGTTAAACTTTTATATGAGAATTATATCGGAAGACATTTCAATCTTTTTAGTTTATAATACCTATACCAAGAATATAATACCACCCCTTAGGTAATATTCATTAAGACCTTCTACAAGGCATTATGACTACTGTTCATAGCGGGTCGGTATTACGACTCGAAAAATAGTACTGATTATAAAATATCAAACAAACAACATATAAAATGGGTCTCACGTACTATTTTCCTAATATCACATTCTCTACCACTCTAATACTCAAAACAAACGGCCTGTTGAAGTACTGAAAAAGCGAGGTAAAATAAAGGAATAAATTACGGGGTTAATTATAAATTATATCCAAAAGATTTTTGAATTTTAATTTATACTTTTGTAGATAAAAAATTTTAATTTATACCCTCAAATATATAAATTTACATTAATACACATGAAACTAACCGCCATCAGTATAAAACTAGTTGGATAAGTTATACCTAGACCCTCTCAAATTTGTCACTTAATTACTTGGACCTCATCACATTTAGAATAATACTCTTAAACCTCGTAACGTTTGTCCACGTGTAACACATAATCTCTTGTTATTGATATCTGTTTATATAATCGTTAACAAATATGATTTCATTATAATAAAAAAATATAATTTTTATACTACCTTTTATTTTGTAGGTTCGTTATACTCTAAAGTTTAAAATCAAGTTTATCATTTGAATACCCAATATAATACAGGTATTTATATAATATTCTTTATATTTAATGCAAAACATCTTGAACATAATTATTTGCATACTCAATTGGAGGAACATTTTTAGTCATATTTGAATTCTCAGGAATGTAAGTATAATATTTTAAATGTGAGGGGTTTAGGTGATTAAGTGACAAGCATAAGGGTCTAGGTATAATTTATCCATTTAATTTTAGATTGACCGCTGTTAACTTCAAGTGTGCATTGATACAGATTTATATATTTGAAAGTGTAAATTGAGATTTTTTTTTTTTTTTTGAGGGTGCATATTGAAATTCAAATGATCTTTTGAAGTACAATTTGTGATTAGCCTTAAATTACAAAAATTGCCCCTAATATTTGCATCAATTATATTTAGGATCGATTTTGGCGTAACGGTAAGGTTATTGTGACATAGAGGTCACGAGTTTAAATCATAAAAATAACATCTGTTTACAGAGGTAAGACTGTATACATCTAACCCTCCACATACCCTACAATGACAAGAGCCTTATGTATGCCCTTTATTATATTTATGGTAAGAGATTCTCACCCTATAATTCTCCGTTCTCACCCGTTAAATTCTTAATTACAAAATTACCAAGTCCAACTCATCTATACTTATCTCATTAGTAATTAAGTTCACTACAATCTATATTCATTTCATTAATAACTAAATTCATCTCAATCTTTACCTTTTTTTTATATTTCATCTAATACATCTTACACAACAATATATTCTACTTTACTATCTAGTATAAATCTCTCAAGCTATATTCAAGTTGGTATTTGGTTTCAAATTAATTTTTTTTTTGCATGTATTTTTTTTAGGGCAAAATCCAATTTACCCCTTGTGGTTTGATCGTTTTACATATCACCTCCTTTTGTGTTTTTGGACTAAAGTGCGACTGTTACTATTTTCTGTCAAAAGTGACAGAAATTATAACACGCGCTAGATTTGCAAATATGGATGTAAAAAATTTAAGTCAGAGTCAAAGCTCAATCTATAAGTCCAAATATATTCTTGTGATCCTTCTAAAAGACATTTTTTTTTATCTTCTTCTATATTTTACTGTTAAAAAAAATAAGATAAAAGAAAAAAACCAGCTCCTCTGCATCGCCACTCATCAACGCCCTCACCTATGGCCAAAACCCTCACCCTTGACAACCCAATCCCTCTGCATTTTCAATAACAAAGTGGGTCACAACGAAAAAGAAATTCTCTGTGTAATGATTTGCAGTGACAAAAAGAGTTAGCAAAGAAAAAATATAGAAGAAGAAGAAGACCAGATCACAGCGAAAAAGACAATGCAGAAGGATCAACTTAGCGAACTAAGTCAGTAACGACGAAGAAGGTGATACAAGTTAGTCTCGCCTCTCACCTCCTCCTCTCCCTCTCTTGTAATTGTTTTTGTGATTTTTGGTGGTTTTCGATGGGGATTTTTCAGTGGGTTTGGGGTTGGGTTTCAGGGGGTTGGGGGTGGGTTTCAGAGGCTGTTGAGGGTGGGTCTTCGGGGCTGTTGGGAGTGGGTTTTCAAGGGTTTGGGGTGGGTTTTCAGGAGGTTAAGGATGGGTTTCAGGTGTGGCGTGGGGGGTTTCAGGGGTGTTTGGGGTGGGTTTTCGGTGTGGTGCGGGGGTTCCAAGGGGTGTTGGGGTTGGTTTTCTATGGGGTTTGGGGGTGGGGGTTTCGATGGTGTTGGTTTGTTGTTGGTGGGGGTGGGTTTTCGGTATGGGTGGTTGGTGGTGGATTTGTGGTGGGGTCAGGTGATTGTTGGTGGTGTGTTGGGGTTGGTTTTCCATGGGGTTTGGGGGTGGGGATTTTGGTGGTATTGGGTTGTTGTTGGTGGGGGTTTTCAGTATGGGTGGTGGTGGTGGTGGATTGCACAGGGTTTGGGGTGGGTTTGTGGTGGGGTCAGGTGGTTGTAGGTGGTGGAATTAAGTGGTGTTAAGTAGTTGATTTTGGGTAAAAAATCAAATATTTTTTTTATTTTTGTTTTTATAATTTTTTAAATTCAAATAACTATCAAACAGTAGGGTTGGAGAAGATGCAGTGACAAAGTTTATTCAGATTTTAAGAAGGCAAGGTGATCTTTTTGCCACTACCGTTAACGGTGTTAGCTATGTATTTTGATTCAAAAACACAAGGGGGTTATGTGCTGATTTTTAAATCACAAGGGGGTGGATGTGCCAAATTTTTTTTTTTTATTTATAAAATCAATAATTTTCATTTAAAGGCTATACATAAAATATATAGGGTTAAATATATGTGTATACGTGAATATACAAATATACAAACTTAACTTATTGTTTTTTTTTTGAAGAAAAGTGCAAATAAAATGATTAGAATATAAAAAGTATTTGAGTAAAGGCTCATTCGGTTTTTCTTTTTTAACATTCAAACAAGATCTTTTTTTTTTTAGTTTGTGATTTAGTCATTGGTATCCTGACTACTTCTAGATGTAATTAAGAAGAATCATTTTACGACTTTGGTATTTTAGTGAAATATTAAATAAAGTGAGTTTAGTCATTAAAGGAGTGGATAAAGAAATATGGTAAATTTTGTCAATAGTGAAGTGAGGATAATAGGATAGACGTATTAGTTTTATAATTGAGAGTTTAATGAAGGTACAAAATAATATTTGTGAGGTGAAATAACTCTGCTCTTATATTTATCGCCTTTGATCTAAAAAATTACCAAACACCTAATTATTTTTCAAATCAATTTCCAGCCAAACCACTCATTTAGTTAACGTATAGTCTCTCTAAAGATAGTGTCTTCATATGTGTATAAAGGTCGGGGGTGGTGGAAAGGGGTACAGGGGAGACTGATTTGTTGGGCGTTCAACAGATGTTCAATGGGAGTGGTGGGAAGGGGTCCTTGTAGAGTAAGTTATGGTCAAGTGTTGGAATAAAAGTTTTAATTGAGACGAGTTACCTGAATTTAGTTTGGGTTCAATTTGGATAAGATTCGGCTCAAACTCGAGTTTATATTCTAAACGAGTTAAGTTTGAATAATTTTTTAGGCTCATTTATTCAACTCGCAAAGTTCGAGTCATTTATATATAAAATAATCAGGCTTGGCTTGAGTTCTAAACAACCCGAGTTTAAACAATTTTTAAGACTCGTTTAAAAAAACAAGCTCAATAAGTTTGGATTCAAGTTCACAAAGTTTTGATGATGCACAATTGGTCTCGTACAAGATCAACAGTCGAATATATGAAGAGGTGAAATTAATGAATAGTAAATAAAGCAATTAATGACAAAACAGTAAATATAAATTAATACACAGATTTTATGGTTGGTTTGAGTGACCTACTCCACTCTCGAAAAACAACAGCAGTAGCGGGAGGTCTTTATTTATGAATAAAGTAACTGGGAGAGTTACATTAGTTAGGAGAGAGAAGCTATGTGTGTAGGGGGTGTAGAGAGGTGTCTTGGAAGGGATCTCATCATGTGGAGAAAGCTTATAATACATAGGTTTGGTGAGACGGTGAGGTAAGCATGAGGGTACTATTTCCTCGAAGATGATAGTTACAAAAGATAAATCAAATTGATAAAGCCAGCGTGAGTTGCCTTCTAGCTGACTTGAGCTTGCTTGATTCATTGGGTCTGGCCTAACTAGATCTGAACTCGTCAAGTTCGACTCGATTAACATCATTGTTGGAACATAGAGGGATGGATAGAAATATAGAGAAGATTTTGAATTTGTTCGAGTTGGATTTGGATTCAACCTTAGCAGTTGGATATTGATTGGGTTGGATTTTATTTCTTCTTGATTAAAGGTTAAGGAGGTCTTTAATCTAGGGTTGATGTAATCTTCAAACCTTACGGGATGAAATCTAATAATTATAGACTTTGCGGGTGGTTGGCGCAATTAATCCAAAGAAAATAAAACAATTCCATTCCTAATACTATCTTTGGAAATAATCCAAGTGGATGGTGTTTGATAGTTTCGAGTCATTACTCATTAATGTATTGATGATAATGACATCAAACACTCTCACTTCCTATAACTTGATCAAACCGAGCATTCATGGCTCAACCTCGGCCGTTAAATACTTTTTTTCGATGCTTCACATTTACGCCCGAGAATTCACTATTCGGGAACAAACACCCTCGAGGTTGGCCGAGAATTTCATGTTGGCGTAATAGTCATTAAAGCCTCTTAACGATGACTATCTCCACATTTTTTGAGAATCTAAGAACTTATTAATGGTTTTGCTATAGTCACTCAAGACCCACATTAATGAGTTGTCAAATCTTTTTTCATACTAGGCTCTGAGAGGCACACTCAACCCTTTCTAACTTAATTTTTCGACGCCTTTCTTAGGTGCGCTTTACACGCCCTAACAACTATTACTATTCACGTATTCATTCATTACTTTCAAGTCCCTTAAAGTCCCATTAATTATATAGTTCATCAATGATTGGTTTGTAACTCCACTTCATGCCTTCAAAAAAGGCCTGGTCGAGTAACGGGAAAATAGTCCTATTATGGTCCAATTGCTCTAAAGTTTTTGGGGGTAATGGGGAAAATTTTTTGGTTTATTCTAAACGAGTAGAGATACATTTATGTTTGTGAGTTCGAATAAAATTAAAAATATTCTGGATATATGAACTGATTCCTCAACTCATATATTGATTAAATCAAAATTTAAATTTCGATAAGAATTTGAACCTACACTAGAGGCACAAATACAGTTCACCTAAACAATTAAAGTCTGTTCAAACAAATAAGGCTCGTCCTATCGACCAACCACATTTTTTATGGCTTAGTAAACTTAAACTCATGATCTCAATAAGATAAATTCTTCACAAGATAAAAAGTATCATTGGATCAAAGACACGTTGATAATTACTCCAATGTTGTGTCATGTTCAAACATCATTTCTATGCTACATACGTAACTATAAGACCTAAATTCACTCTGGTATGTTTTTTTTTCAAGGAATAAATATTGAAAGAACCGAACTTCTAGAATATACATATACTAAAGTTTGTCACTTTCCAGCTGTGATCACCAAAGGCCCTTGGTAAGTGATCACTTTCTAACTGCGATCCCTCTCGTTATCTTGTCTTTCTTTTCTTTTTGGTACGGTACGTGTATCTGGATTAATATTTTTTTGTTTAATTAAAAATAAGTTATTCACGTGAGAATTAGGATATTCATGAGAGGACCTCAATAAATTATTAATATTTAAACTTAAAACATATAAATTTATAATTTCGTTCATATTATTAGTTGAGTTAGCCGTGGTATTTTTTGTCTTTTCAAGAAAGTGAGTGAGTTGCACTCCCAAGAAAGCAATTGCCCCTACCGACTTTTGAGGAGTTTATCAATGTACACTTTTATGAAAAGTAAATTGTGTTCAAGTTATTATATTGTTTCCTCTTAAGTTTTTGAAAATTTGCATAATGACCCTAATTATTTTTCATTTTAGTAAATTAGTGGTTAACTCATCCCCTAATATTTTAGAATATATATTTTATTTTTTGATTGAGTAAAAGAAATGTGAAAATTTCATAAATCATATATATTAAGGAAAGACAATATGTTTGTTATATTATACACTTTCTCTTGTTTCTTTTAAAATAATTGTATAGTTATCCTTAGTAAGTTAGTCGTTCATAACCCAGCATCATCACATGAATAAATGCAAATAGTAAAATATAATAATCCAAAAATATTTGTGCCCTTTCAAAAATATAAATTTCTTAACAAGATTTAAAAAAAAAATTGTTGAAAATTTTATTATGCAATTATTGATCAATTATAATTGTGTAAGACAACGTCGTTGTGTTCCACTTTAATATATTATGAGTTCAAATGTGTTATTAAAAAAAAATCAATCTTGTAATTTTGTTAACGCTGAATTGATTCTGCTTTAAATTTAATATAACAATTAAGTCTTAGTTCGTAAAATATTTTTTATAATTGAACTTAGGAATTTTTTAATGAATTTTTTTTTATGCATCTATAATAATTGTACAGTTATACTAATCGAATTTTGTTTATGCGTCTATAATCTTGAATTATATGGTAAAATCATAACTGTAGTAATACTAATAGAAAAAATAACGTAAAATTGTGCAAACAAGTCCTAATATAAAACCTTTGTGCAAATAAAAGATGTTATACTCGTTACTTTATCGTTGAGTCATATAGTTTTTAAGAAAAATTTAATATCTTGCTAGTCTATCACACCCGAACTTAGATATTCGAAACAATTTAACTAGCACAAGTGAATTATTGAAATCCAATTAATCAAAACAAATTGACTCAAAATGTAATCCATAATTAACAAATTCCAAATATATAATAAGTTGAGGTCTAGTTTTTTAATTGGTAACTGACTACTACTCATTTTCTAAACATAAAACTATCCCTAAATATCTTCCAAACGGGGCAAATTTTTTAACAAAAAAAAAAAAAAATCAAACTTTTCAGAATTTCAAGCAACCCCATAAGTTTTTGAAATTGCAGCGGGGGCAGCTGCCCCCATTGTGGCTCCACCACTGCCCGTATATTCAACCTTCCTTGTTGGGAAATATGACTAACATGAGAAAAATGGTAGAAATTAGGGATCACTGTAGAGTAGAGAAAAACGGGAATTTGTTCAAATTCGTTTGTTTGGACTAATGACAGACTATATGTATTAGACGATTGACGTATACAAAGATATTCATATTAACTAGTATGGGGATGAACTAAAACTTATCCCCACCTCGCCATGCCCCCACCCAGCCCGCTCCCACCCCGTTAAACTCGATAGTTTTTTTATATAATGAGGCCTACACATCGGCTCCTATAAATAGGTTTTTTTAGCATAGATTTATTTTTTTTTAGTATAGATATAATTTTTTCCTCACAGATCTAGGCTTTTTTTTAGCATAGATCTACTTTTTTTCCACATATCTAGTGTTTTTCTTCAAGATATAGGTTTTTTTTTTTTGCATAGATCTATCTTCATATGTGAATATTTAATATGGAGGCGAGGACAGGGGCATGGATTAGAATTTATCCATAGGACTGGAATGAGGATTAGAACTTACTCTATTAACGAGAATAGATTAGAGGTGGATAGACCTTTTTAAGTGGGTACGAGACTGGAGACTACTCCCCCGCCCCCACTTCAATCTACTATCAGTCCTACTAGAAATGTGCTGAGAGAGAGAGAGAGAGAGGAATTTTAAAAATAATGAGAAAATTTTGGAGAGAAGAAGGCAGCCATTTAGAGGGTGGATAGCTAAAGTGACTGTACTAGAGGTAGAAGAAGTAAAGGATAGAGAAAGCACAAGATGTTATTTCATCAACCAAATCAGCAAATTTGGCTCACTTAGCATTTTACATTATCTCATATGGGAAATACTATTTACACTTAATTTAGTGATTTAATTTGATAACATGATAGATCATAATCGTTAAATTGATAATAGGTCTCAATTAATAGCAGGGTTCACTGTCAATATAATAGCAAAAAATGATAAAATTACCAAATAAAATCACTAAATAAAATTCATATAACGTTGGATGTGATATTATTGAATTGCGTCTCCTTGTAATTGGCATTTAGTATCAAATGGCAGTGACAGCCTGATACCTAGTAATTATGGAAAGTTTTCATACATGACAACGAAGCTAGAGGAATGTCGCATTAACAAGGACATAGGGAATTGCTACAAACTAAGTCTGATCAGGAGTGAGGACAACTCAATATAAGCCTAGGGAAGTCTAAGTTACCAACTTAACTCTTATTTAATCACACAAGAACCAACCATTACAGCCCAATAGCAAAACGATAAAACTAACTGATTAAGCACCTGTAATCTGTCCATTAATACCCAACTTCTTGTTATTCCATAGTAAAATAATGATCAAATCAATCCCAACACTCCTTATATAAACACCCACAAATGCATAGGAAAAACTCATCAAACACAAGAACAATCTGTGGGTGTGTGTGTGTGTGTGTGTGAGAGAGAGAGAGATGGAGTTCACTTGCAAGGGCTTCCAGGTGGGAAAATGTGAAGGTGAGAAGGTGGTGGATGGTGAGACAATGCCACTAGTGCTACTACCACCACAGCCCAACAAGAGTGACTTAGAGTCCCTTCTTGTAGCTCTAAAGAACCACAAAGACTGGTTTGAGCAAATGATTGTCAAGAACAGTGCTGTGCTCCTCCGAGGCTTTGATGTGAAGGACGCAGTGAACTTCAATGACATAGTCGAAGCCTTCGGCTGGGACAATAAGGGATACGTCGGGCCGGCGCTGAGGACTCATATATACAAGCGTATACGGACAGCCAATGAAGGTCCCCTCTCTGAGTTTATATATTACCATCATGAAATGGTCCTGGTGAGTAGAAGTATCATGGCTTCAAGTTGTGTCTTTTTTTTTTTTTTTTATGTTTAACCTTTTTTTTCCCGTAAGTAAGATGATTTCATTAACCGAAAAGTAATGTATACCCAAAAACAAGAGTGTTCAAAACTCAAACAATGTTTCACCATATTAATTATCCTGCTAATAAAGTTCCTTATATAGGTTGGTGAAATTTTTTTACATAATACATATTAATGGGCATGAATGCATGCCTATCTTGATGAAAACTGCAAGTAGTTCATCTATGTCATACGTTTAGGGTACACAGTCGCCCGAGTCTAATTACTGCGATCCCATTTTGTGAGGAGGCACCATTCCCCGAGGTTATTGTTGGGTTTCCCTCCTTTGTGGGACTCATCAATTTGCTAATTTTTTGGTGGCTTACCCGTGTATGACTCTTATCCAAGACTTGGTTTGGAGTCTTCAAGTTAAAAGGAATTTGGCAGCCACCAAAGACTATAAGTTTTGTCTTTTTCTTTGGTTCATCTCTTCTCTGTTGGTTTGGCAAGAAGACATATTTTCGGCAGTCTTTGGTTCAACAAAAATTCAGCCTTCTTCTTCTCCTTTTTGGTGCCAGAAAAATCTGCAAATTTGTTCTTCAAGTGGGTAACATTTCTTCACTTGATATTTGAGTTTCTTGCGGTTTGTTCTTGGAGATTTGGTTCACTTATTTTGTGAGGTATTTTCCTCTTGTGATTTACACCTTGGTGTGTTTGTAAGGCTTATGCCTTTTGGCCACTTTGTAATCTGATTTGGTGATAGTGGAAGAAACTGACCTACCGGTCGTTGTGGATGTACCTCAAGTTATTTGAGGGAACCACGTAAATCTTGTGTGCTTATTTATTTTCTGTTATTTTATTTATATTGCTTCCATTGATTTACACTTGTGGGAAAGCCTATTTTCCCAACATCTGGTATCAGAGCAATTGGTTAATTCGGTTCCGATTCGTTATATTTCTGTGTGTGAATTATGGACGGCAACGTTGGACGTATGGTTAGTTTCAATGGCACAAATTGGGTGACTTGGAAAACTAAAATGGAAGATCTTTTATTTTGTAAAGATTTGAATGGACCTATAGAGGGTGATAGTGGCAAACCGGAAGGGATGAAAGATGACGAGTGGAAAAAGCTAGACCGGAAAGCTGTCGGTTTTATTTGGCAATGGATTGATGATAGTGTCTTTCATCATGTCTCTACAGAAAAATCTGCACATGGTCTTTGGACCAAATTGGAGAGTTTGTATGATAGAAAGACGGCAGTGAATAAAACCTTTTTATTTCGAAAGCTTGTGAACTCTAAATATAAGGAAGGTACTTCTATTGCAGAGCATTTGAATGAGATTAAGAGCATTGTGAATCAGTTGGCCGCCATGAAAATTACTTTTGATGATGAGTTGCAAGCTTTGTTACTTCTTAGTTCACTTCCCGAAAGCTGGGAAACTTTGGTGGTCACAGTTAGTAACTCCGCACCTGATGGAGTGGTAACAATGAGTCAAGTTACCAGCAGTTTGTTGAATGAAGAAACAAGAAGAAAATCATCAGGTTCTTCTTACTCCGAGGCACTTGTAATGGAAAACCGGGGGAGAGGCAGGAGTAAGAGTAGGGTTCCGCACAACCGTGATAAATCTAGAGGTCGTTCAAGCTCGATGTCAAAAAAGGATGTTGAATGCTATTATTGTCACAAGAAAGGGCACATGAAGCGGGAATGTAGAAAACTCAAGTTCAAGGAGCAGAACAAAGAGAAAAATTCAGAGAAAAAGCAAATTGATACAGCTGTAGTTACCGATGATGAACTCATGATTATCCGTGATGATGCTAGCGTTAATTTGATTGGCCAAGAGACGGATTGGGTAATTGATTCTGGAGCTTCATTTCATGTTACTTCGCGGGCTGATTTCTTTACTTCTTACTCACAAGGTGATTTTGGGAATGTCCGTATGGGAAATGAAGATGTGTCAAAAATTGTCGGCATGGGTGACATTTGCTTGGAAACAAATATTGGATGCAAATTGCTGCTTAGAGATGTGAGGCATGTACCAGATATTCGACTCAATTTAATCTCTGCTGGAAAGTTAGATGATGAAGGCTACATCAACAATTTCAGTAATGGAAAATGGAAGCTCTCCAAAGGTTCTCTAGTGGTAGCAAAAGGAAAGAAGACTTGTTCTCTTTACACTATGCAAGCAAAAATCTGCAAGGGTGTTGTGAATACCTTAGAGAATGACTCATCCACTGATTTATGGCATAGAAGGCTTGGACATATGAGTGAAAAAGGATTGCAAGTTTTGTCCAAGAAAGAGCTTCTAGTGGGGATAAAAGGTACGCCTTTGAAAACTTGTGTTCATTGTTTCCATGGTAAACAAAACAGAATATCATTCCGTAGAAACATTGCATCTAGAAAATCTCATGTTTTAGATTTGGTACATTCTGATGTATGTGGTCCTTTGAAAGTTAGGACACTTGGTGGTGCTCTATACTTTGTCACTTTTATTGATGATCACTCTAGAAAAGTTTGGGCTTATACACTGAAAACTAAAGATCAAGTTCTAGATGTGTTTAAGATTTTTCAGGCCAAGGTTGAAAGAGAAACAGGTAGACAGTTGAAATGTGTTCGCTCGGATAATGGTGGTGAATATATTGGACCATTTGATCAGTATTGCACAAATCATGGTATCAGGCATGAAAAGACAGTTAAAAAGACACCTCAACAGAACGGGGTTGCAGAGAGAATGAATCGCACCATTCTTGAGAGAGTCAGATGTTTGCTCTCACATTCTAAATTGCCAAGATCCTTTTGGGGTGAGGCAATGAGGACCGCAGTTGATCTTATCAATTTGTCTCCTTCAGTTCCGTTGAATGGTGATGTGCCAGAGAAAGTTTGGACAGGGAAGGAAGTCTCCTATGATCACTTGAGGGTATTCGGCTGCAGAGCTTTTGTTCATATTCCAAAAGATGAAAGGTCCAAGCTTGATCCAAAAGCAAAGCAATGCATATTTCTTGGCTATGGGCATGAAGAATTTGGATACAGGTTGTATGATACAGTTGACAAGAAAGTTGTCAGAAGCCGAGATGTTGTTTTCTTGGAAGATCAGACTATTGAAGACATCGACAAGCTTGAGTCAGCTGAGTCTAGTACTGATGATCTTGTTGATTTAGATCCTCTCAATCCCTCTGTTGTTCATGATATTGATGAGGAAGTGCAAACACCTCATGATGATGCAGCAGAAGATGATGTTGAGCCAGAGATTGAGGGGGAGCAACCACCCCAAGAGCCACTACCACAGACACCGTTAAGGAGATCTACTAGAGAAAAACAGCCATCCAGAAAATATTCTTCAAATGAGTATGTGATGATATCAGATCAGGGGGAGCCAGGGACTTATCAAGAAGTCTTGAAGCATGAGAACAAAACTGAATGGTTCAAGGCAATGAAAGAGGAAATGAAGTCTTTGCATGAGAATCACACCTATGATTTGGTGAAGCCGCCTAAAGGGAAGAAAATTTTGAAAAATAAATGGGTCTTCAGACGAAAGAATGATGGGAACAGTTCTCAACCGAGATTCAAGGCACGACTTGTCGTGAAAGGTTTTGATCAGAGAAAGGGAGTTGATTTTGATGAGATCTTCTCACCAGTTGTGAAGATGTCCTCCATTCGAACTGTGCTTGGTATAGCTGCGAGTATGAATTTAGAAGTTGAGCAGCTTGATGTGAAGACCGCATTTTTGCATGGTGACTTAGAAGAGGAAATTTATATGGAGCAACCTGAGGGCTTCAAAGATAAGGGTAATGATCAGTTAGTTTGCAAATTGAAGAAGAGCTTGTATGGATTGAAGCAAGCACCGAGGCAGTGGTACAGAAAATTCGATGCTTTCATGAGTGAGAATGGGTATTCAAGAACCACTTCAGACCATTGTGTGTTTGTGAAGAAATATAAAGATGGTAATTTTATTATTCTCTTGCTTTACGTTGATGATATGCTTATTGTGGGCCAAGACACGAGTAAGATTAGCAAGTTGAAGTCAGAGTTGAGTAAGTCCTTTGCCATGAAGGATTTGGGTCCAGCAAAGCAAATTCTTGGGATGAGAATTGTTCGTGACAGATCACATGGGCTGATTTGGTTATCTCAAGAGAATTATATTAAAAAGGTTCTTGAGAGGTTCAATATGGACAAAGCAAAGCCTGTTAATTGTCCACTTGCAGGCCACTTCAAACTAAGCTCAAGTCAGTGTCCTACAAGTGATGAAAAGAGAAATGAGATGCAGAAAATTCCCTATGCTTCAGCAGTTGGTTCTTTGATGTACGCCATGGTTTGTACTCGACCGAATATTGCTCACGCAGTTGGGGTTGTCAGTCGATTTTTGTCTAATCCAGGGAAAGAACACTGGGCAGCAGTGAAATAGATTATGAGGTATCTTCAGGGCACTTCAAATATGAGTTTGTGTTTTGGTAAAGGCGAGCCTATTCTTGATGGGTTCACAGATTCTGATATGGCTGGTGATGTTGATAGTCGAAAATCTACTTCTGGTTATTTGATTACTTTTGCAGGGGGAGCAGTGGCATGGCAATCAAGATTACAGAAATGTGTTGCTCTCTCCACCACAGAAGCTGAGTTCATCGCCATCACTGAAGCTTGCAAAGAATTATTGTGGTTGAAGGAATTCTTACAAGAGTTGGGTTTGAAACAAGAAAGGTATGTCCTTCATTGTGATAGTCAGAGTGCAATCCACTTGAGCAAGAATTCTTCATTTCATTCGAGATCGAAACATATTGATGTTAGATATCATTGGATTCGTGATGTCTTGAATGATAAGTTGTTACAACTTGAAAAAATTCACACTGATGATAACACTTCGGATATGTTAACTAAGGCATTGACTAAGGACAAGCATGAGAAGTGTCGACTTTTGGCGGGAATGGTCGAATCTTCCACATAAGTCGGGAGGGGGAGAATTGTTGGGTTTCCCTCCTTTGTGGGACTCATCAATTTGCTAATTTTTTGGTGGCTTACCCGTGTATGACTCTTATCCAAGACTTGGTTTGGAGTCTTCAAGTTAAAAGGAATTTGGCAGCCACCAAAGACTATAAGTTTTGTCTTTTTCTTTGGTTCATCTCTTCTCTGTTGGTTTGGCAAGAAGACATATTTTCGGCAGTCTTTGGTTCAACAAAAATTCAGCCTTCTTCTTCTCCTTTTTGGTGCCAGAAAAATCTGCAAATTTGTTCTTCAAGTGGGTAACATTTCTTCACTTGATATTTGAGTTTCTTGCGGTTTGTTCTTGGAGATTTGGTTCACTTATTTTGTGAGGTATTTTTCTCTTGTGATTTACACCTTGGTGTGTTTGTAAGGCTTATGCCTTTTGGCTACTTTGTAATCTGATTTGGTGATAGTGGAAGAAACTGACCTACCGGTCGTTGTGGATGTACCTCAAGTTATTTGAGGGAACCATGTAAATCTTGTGTGCTTATTTATTTTCTGTTATTTTATTTATATTGCTTCCATTGATTTACACTTGTGGGAAAGCCTATTTTCCCAACAATTATGGGGTTATTTTGTCGATTCTTTGGAGAGAGTTGTCTTGCGCTACTAAACGTTTTCTATCACCTTTTGTTGAAGGTCCTCTGAACTTTTACTAGAAGTCTGTCATGGATTACTTCTCAAACATTGGCCCAGAGGCATTTTCTCTACCCCTTATGATTTCAAATTCTTATGTTAATTGGTGAGATATTGTCATATCGTCATCTACTCTATGAACTTAAGCAAGTAGGAAGATTGTAACTTTAAGTATTAATACTCATCAATACGCCTCTTCACTTACGAGCTAGATTTTGAGACAAGTATGTAAAATCTTATTTATGTTTTAATTAGCAAACAGCCATTAAGATTCAAACATAGTACATTTTATATATGCTGATATCGTATTAGACCACCATCTACCTTGGAAAACAAATGTGTGTGGTCATTGCCTTTAGGTTGGCACCATCAACATGACCATTGCAAAACATAGACCAGTCTGGTTTATCAATTAAATTAGCATATACCATAACTATCATGACTCTACTGCATTATATAACACTGAGTGGTGCAATAAGGATAGAGCATATTACGTAACTGTGTGTTTCATCATGACATCATTCATTGAGTGGAAGAGACTTCAAACATAAACTGATTGCACATCTTAACTAATCAATCTTTTTTAGTAATAAAAAGTAGACGTAATGTATCATGCCTGATCAATCAATCCGGGGCCGGCCCAATAGTTTTTGAAAAAAAAAAGGATTTTAAGGAGTCCGGTATCTTTTTTAGAAATTATAGGGCAAAAAGTACCACTTTTAAAAACATAGGTCAAAAAGTACACAACCCCTAATAAATCTCTAAAATATCCCATTCAGCAAAATGAGAACCGATTCCTATATTTTTGCATCTATAACCGAAATATCAGGAATATCAACTGTTACCATAAAACTTCTTCAATATCGCTGCAACCTCCATTCTTTCAAGATTGATAAGAAAACTTCCCTAAAACATCCATTCTTTTCAAAACATCATAATTCCAATGGATCCATACGATTTTATGTGATTAAAAAATCAACTCTCAATCAAAGTATCAACGGAGTCCAAATCCTTTTATTTTCGATCAAGATGACTCATCGAGATCGCAAAACTCTCTATGGACTTGAAGCACAAGGTTCCGAACATTCTCGATGTTGAGGTGGACCACAAAAAAGGGTGGTGGATTGTAGAAACCACAATGAATCTGTACATGAAAAAGGAGGGTTTTAAGAGAATTCATCGTCTTCAAGGCTTGTAAACCATGGAGGCGGGGTTCAATTAATGGGGGACAAATATGACAGTTATATAGGGATTCAGTTTCCTAATTTTATGTTATATCTTTTTTGAATATTAAATTACCTATTCATCTATAATTGAACAACCGTTTATTCAAACATTCATTCCATACATATTTCTCTATCATTCAAATCGAAAATATCTGTCAATGACACCTTCCTGCCAATCAATCTCTGTATCGTTCTAATTTAATCGGATGTCATCATACTATAAACCAAAATGCCATAGTGATACCTTCTAATGACAAGGGTACCAGCAATGACACACTATTACCATCCAAAAAGTCACACTACATTTAGATAATTTTTTTTATCCATGTCTTCCCTACATTTATATAATTTTTTTTATAAATCTTAATGAAGAATATATGTTTTTACCTTATATAATACTATTGGTTGTTACGAGTTTTTTTTTTTCATAAATATTTTAAATTTAAATTTAGTACAGTGATATATGTCACACTGATACAGTGATACACAACAATGTCACAGTACTACAAGCCAATGTCACACTAGAAGCGATGTCAGTGATTTTTTGATAATAGAGGAGGTGTCCTTAAAAATATAATAATCTAGAAAGAGTATAATTGAAATTTTTTCAAAAAAATCATCACACCACTTGAACCCCCCTCCATGGTCTACGAGCCTTGAAAAAGATGAATCCTCTTAGAACTCTCCATTTTCATTTACAGAATCATGATGATTTTTACAATCCATGAACCTTCTTTGTGATCCACCTCAACATGGAGAATGTTCGGAACATTGTGCTTCAAGTCTCTCTCTCTGGGCAAGAGCAGGGCGGTTATGGCGATGTCCTCTCGGATAGCTACTTCATTCTTATACGGCCTCTACTCCAACCAATTATCGCCTGATGCCAGTACAAAGACCAAGATTAACAAGATCTATTCATCATGTTTCTCTCTCTTCCAACGCCCTACAATATTCAAAATGGCTATTGCTTCTTAGTGCGGTAGAAGGGAGTCATCATCATTTAATATATTTGCTTCAGTTACAAACGCAGATCTTTGACTGGGTGAATCAATAGAAACTGCTCAGCTTCCCAAGGGTGATACCTGGTCCATTCATAAATTTGGTGGCACCTGTGCGAGAAGCTCCCAAAGAATCCAAAATGTTGCAGAGATAATTATTAAGGATGACTCAGAAAGAAAGCTGGTCGTTGTGTCTGCAATGTCAAAGGTGACAGATATGATGTATGATCTTATCTATAAAGCACAGTCACGAGATGATTCTTATCTGGCCGCACTGGATGCTGTTTTAGAAAAGCACAAGTTAACAACACTTGATCTGCTTGATGGTGATGATCTTGCTAGCTTCTTATCTCGGCTGCATCATGACATCAACAACCTTAAAGCTATGCTTCGTGCCATATACATTGCTGGTCATGCAACATAATCTTTTTCAGATTTTGTTGTAGGACATGGAGAGTTGTGGTCTGCTCATATGTTGTCGTCTCTTATCATAAAGAATGGGGTGGACTGTACTTGAATGGACACGAGAGATGTCCTTGTTTTAAATCCTACTAGCTCTAATCAAGTTGATCCGGATTATTCACAAACAGAAAAAAGACTTGAGAAGTGGTTCTCAGAAAATCCCTCCAAGACAATTATTGCTACTGGTTTCATAGCTAGCACACCTCAAAATATTCAACAACGTTGAAGAGAGATGGAAGTGACTTCTCTGCTGCTATTATGGGTGCTTTATTCAGGGCACGCCGAGTCACAATTTGAACCGATGTTGATGGTGTGTATAGTGCAGATCCTAGAAAAGTTAGTGAGGCTGTGATACTGAAGACATTGTCTTATCAAGAAGCCTGGGAAATGTCATATTTTGGGGCAAATGTTTTACATCCTCACACCATCATTCCAGTGATGCAATATGGCATTCCAATTGTTATAAGAAACATCTTCAACCTTTCTGCGCCTGGAACGATGATCTGCAAGCCTTCTGGAGAGGAAATTGAAGATGGCTGGCTGTTGGAATCTCCGGTTAAAGGATTTGCGACAATAGATAATTTGGCCCTTGTAAATGTTGAGGGAACTGGAATGCCTGGCGTTCCTGGTACATCAAGTGCTATTTTTGGTGCTGTGAAAGATGTGGGAGCTAATGTTATCATGATAACCCAGACTAGTAGTGAGCATTCTGTGTGCTTTGCTGTGCCTGAAAAGGAAGTAAAAGTTGTAGCTGAGGCTTTGGAATCTAGATTTCGCCAGGCTTTGGATGCTGGCCGCCTTTCTCAGGTTGCGATTATTCCAAACTGTAGCATTTTGGCAGCAGTTGGCCAGAAAATGGCAAGCACTCCTGGAGTTAGTGCTACACTTTTCAATGCACTTGCAAAGGCTAGTATCAATGTCCGTGCAATTGCTCAAGGTTGCTCAGAGTATAATATTACTGTAGTTGTTAAACGAGAAGATTGCGTTAGGGCCTTACGAGCTGTGCACTCGAGATTTTATCTGTCACGAAATTTCTTTCTGAGTCATCCTTAATAATTATCTCTGCAACATTTTGGATTCTTTGGGAGCTTCCCACACAGGTGCCACCAAATTTATGAATGGACCAGGTATCACCCTTGGGAAGCTGAGCAGTTTCTATTGATTCACCCAGCGAAAGTTCTGCGCTTGTAACTGAAGCAAATATATTAAATGATGATGACTCCCTTCTACCGCAGTAAGAAGCAATAGCCATTTTGAAGATTGTAGGGCGTTGGAAGAGAGAGAAACATGATGAATAGATCTTGTTAATCTTGGTCTTTGTACTGCCATCAGGCGATAATGGGTTGGAGTAGAGGCCGTATAAGAATGAAGTAGCTATCCGAGACGACATCGCCATAACTGCCCTGCTCTTGTCCAGAGAGAGAGAGACTTGAACTACAAGGTTTCAAATATTCTCCATGTTGAGGTGGACTGCACCGCAAAGAAAGGTCGTGGATTATAGAAATCACCACGAGTTTATACATGAAAAGGGAGGGTTCTAAGAGAATTAATCTTCTTTAAGGCTTGTAGACCATGGAGGCGGGTTCAAGTGGTGTGATGATTTTTTTGAAAAAATTTCAGTCATACTCTTTTTAGGTTATTATATCTTTAAGGACACCTCCTCTATTATCAAAAAATCACTGACATCCCTTCTAGTATGACATTGGCTTGTATCAGTATGATATTGACTTGTAATAGTGTGACATTGTCTTGTAGCACTGTGACATTGTTGTGTATCACTGTATCAGTGTGACATATACCACTGTACTAAATTAAAATTTAAAATATTCATGAAAAAAAAAAACTCGTAACAACCAATAGTATTATATAAGGTAAAAACATATATTCTTTATTAAGATTTATAAAAAAAATTATATAAATGTAGGGAAGACATGGATAAAAAAAATTATCTAAATGTAGTGTGACTTTTTGGATGGTAACAGTGTGAATTTTGGATGGTAACAGTGTGTCATTGCTGGTACCCTTGTCATTAGAAGGTATCACTATGACATTTTGGTTTATAGTATGATGACATCCGATTAAATTGGAACGATACAGAGATTGATTGGCAGTAAGGTGTCATTGACAGATATTTTCAATTTGAATGATAGAGGAATATGTATAGAATTTTGAATAAACGGTTATTCAATTATAAATAAATAGGTAATTTAAAATTCAAAAAAAGATATAACATAAAATTAGGAAACTGAATCCCTATATAATTGTCATATTTTTTCCCCATTAATAAAGGAAAAGGGCAATTTAGTAATAGAAAAAATTACAATTCAATAAAAGTGTACATCTTCACCAAACATTTACACATAAAGGTACTTATATACATATATTTTATATTGAGGGACTTTTATACAAATAAGTATGAAAGGGTGTACCTTTTCACAATTTTCTCAAAAAAAAATATGGATTTTGGGTCCCAAATTTTTAAAAGACCCCATAATTTTAGATACATAATTAGTACACATAAAAAAAATTAAATTCATGAAAATTTTAGGTCTTACAAAAAGGCCTCAAAAAATTTAAATCCAATCAAAAAATTGTAATTTCAATAATTTAGGTCTACAATTCAATTTATAACATTAGAAATTTAAAAATCAACAAATTTAAAAATGAAAATTGAGGGTGAGTCCCCCTATATGGATTTATAATGACATGAGTCCTAGAACAAAACTTATTTAGGGGTAAGTTCATATTTAAACTTATATGTAGATACTTAAGTTCACTTATTTTTTAATTCTCAAAATTACCCCTAATGGTGTTGGTTTTGTCCAGTTATGGAAAGTCACATAGATTAGATTATTGAAGTATATATGAAAATCCTTGATTAAGTTATATATGAAAACCATTTATTAAATATTATGATAATTAACAGAAGTTTTATATGAAAGTTATATATTCTGATAATTGTATATAGGAAGGTTAATGTACAAATAAATTGTTGGTCTATTAAGTCGAAATCAGATCACAAAATTTCTTTAACAACAATAATGCATAATATATGGAGACTGAACAAATCCAACAGAGTTCCGTTATACGAATGTTAATATATAGTAACATTCATGTTACTATATGATTGAAGTTACAATTAGGATCGTATTACTAGTACAGTCGTGTTACTATACTGATATTAATGTTACTACAGTGAATTTTAACATACAATTGCAAATTTTTTTACGTATATTATGTAACATACACTTTAATATTCACAGTAACGTCAAACCTTTGTGCTCAGTAACACATCTAATTTTACAAAATACAAGACAATAATTTTTTTACAGTAACATCAACTTTTGAATAATTTTAGTGAAAATACGATTCATAAATTGAAAATTTATAAAATGATGAGTAGTAACACACAATTAACATTTAAATTATGATACTCAACACCAATTGTGAACATCAAAATATTGAAATTCTGAACTTCATTTTTTGGTTCACGTACAGTAACGTGAACTTTTTTTACAATAACACAACTAAAGAATACTCGATTGTCTTGTACAACAAAAAAAATTAACAAAATTGAAATTTGTAACACTTTAATTTAGTACTAATGTATGAGTTCTCTAGAATCTTGGTTACATAATATTTTGTCGAAGGAGTCTAAAGTAGACTGAAATAGTAAATTGAAATTGTATTTTATGAAATGTAATGGATTTGAAATTTGAATATGAATGATTTTTGGTAATTGCCAGTTTCTTGCTTTTCGGATAAGGAAACAATGTAGCTTGAAAGATTGTAGTCGGATTTGAAGGCAATTATAAAGGAGATCTATATGAGTGGTTATTGTGTCCATAAACATCGTTTATAACATTCAAATAGGAAAAGATTACAATATTAAAATTGACAAAAAAAAAACTTAAAAACAAATAAATTTTCTTGACGGACTTATTTTCAAATAAGTCTATATGAAAGAACTGACCTCCAAATTTCTCAATTTAAAAAATAAATACAAAAAAATTTAAAAGTCAACTCATACTTACTCACATCTATTCTTTCTCTCTTAAAAAACAAAAATAAAGTATCACATTCTCCCCTCTCACTTTAAAAAATTAAACATATTTTTTAACTTTTAAAAATAATACCAAAAAAAAAACCTCATTTAATATTACCGCTTTAAACTTCAAATTACCTTGAGCCGGCCTGAATCAATCACACCCAAAAAAATAAAATTCTTGGACATAATCCGGAGTTGACGGGTTTGCGTATGTAAATTAGATACCACGGCGTATCACACACTTGTCAACACTGAGCTGTAGATGGAAATTTTGTGCACTTAATACGACTAAAAAATCGAGAGTTGACAATATAATTTAACAAGAATTTACTATGTCTAACTTACCAGAAGAAGGAATATCCGAAGGAAGTGATTTTTTTCTGTGAGGTACCACCACCAGAAGGTGGACAGACGCCCATGGTGCCAAGTTTTCGGGTTACAGAACGGATGTTAGAAGAGTTTCCAGAAGCTGTGGAGGAAATGGAGAAGGAAGGCCTGAAATACACTTTGACGGCCTTCAGCAAGACTGATAGATCTTCTATGAGAGGTCGAGGTTGGGAAGATGCTTTTGGAACATCAGACCACGAAGAAGCCGAGAGAAGGTATGTAACCCTCTCTAGTTCAACTACCATTTGATAAGACGATTGATAACCGATTTCATGTTAGGGCTCGGTGATTGATCACTATGTTAATCGAGTTAGATTTGTTCTAAAGGAGTAATGAGGGTAATTAAGGTCTTATAATCAGGGTCTTTTGATTCCACCAGCAAAGACTTATCTGGATGATCTTTGAGCCCTCTCCTTTGCCCCCAGTATTTTTTCTCTCAACAAAAAAAAAAAAAACATGTTTTACTATTTTGTTTTTTCATTTTTTTTTTTTTTCTCGTTAAGTTTCATCATTGTAGTAATAAAACGACGTACTTAGTGACGAAGCTAGGTTGGCACAAATATGAATACAAAAAATTTACTGACCGATATAAACTATAAAGAATAGTTTTTATTTTGTACCTTTAAAGAATAATTTTTTACGTTGCAACCTCAATGTATCAAAAGTATTGCAATATGATCTTTTGGTTAGCTTTTTGTTAATTTTTCAATCAGGGTCAATGGATTGACTTTTGACAAAAAAAATAACGAAAGTTAACAAAATAATCACATTACAATATTTTTGATACATTGAGAGTACAATGCGAAAATTTTAATTTTTGATGGAGCAAAGTGAAAAATTTGAAATCTTTCACGGTATAAACTACGAAAAGCCCAATATATTAATAATAAAATATTACAAAAAAATATATCTAACATTATTTAACCTTACTAAGACATGGATCAAAAAAAAAAACACAATATTCATGTCATAGTGCATTCAACTCAATTCCCTATCTAAATAATGCTCGATGTCACATCATGTTCCGAAAATTATCTATTTTTGTGTAAAATTTTGCACTAATTTTCTTCTTGATGTGCGTAATCAAATAACTCACCAATAAATCATCATCCATTGTATTAAAATCATATTTTTGATAATATACATAATCAAAAATAGTCCCCAAATTTAATAAGCAACACGAATCTACATGACTATTTAAATTCGACACATAACTTATGTATTTTTTAACTGGTTAAAACATATGGGTATAAGATGTAATAATATTTGTTTCTCAAGACACCAAAATGCAAAGGTCAAAGGAAAGATTAAAAAATTAAAAAGAGCATTAAGTAAAAATATCATATACTCCCTCCGTTTTTAAATATTTATAATTTTGAACAATTTTTTTTATTTTATAATATCTGCCGTTTAATGAAACCATAACATAATTAATATTTTTTCTTCTAAATTTATCCTTATCTCTGTTTTTCAATAAGTGCTTAATAGATTAAGTGTAGACTAGTATTTTTCATATTTCTTTCTTTTTCGATATGTATTGAATAAAAGTATTTTAATCTTGTATAATTATTTTTTACTCATATTAAAATTATTTAATAATTTCTTTAATTTCTGTGTAAAAATCTTAAACGACAAATATTTAAAAATTGAATGAGTAAATTTGTGTAATAAGCAAGACAAATGTCAGAGGGGGCTACCAGCCAACGTTGGCGTATGAGTGACTCCGTCACTAGGTAATCTAGTACACAAAACTCAGTGTCATTATGAATTTATTATTATTATTTTGCTAAAAGAAAGTTAACCATTATTAAGAGCGGCACAAAAGCTAGCTTCAAATGACTACGTACGGCTCATCTGGACATTTTGAGTATGTAATTGAACCTTGAACTGCAAGGAATATTGGTTGCAGGGCTAAGGCTGTAGGGATGGACATGGAATGGCTACCGGATGGTGGAGTGAAGACGATCTTAGGGCCGCGATCTCTGACCAAGGTGTTCGATGGAAGAAAAGGGCGGAGAATGTGGTTCAACATGGTGGTTGGTATGCATGGGAAGGAGCTCAGCTCGGCCACGATGGCCGATGGAACTGAGATACCAGAGGAAGTGGTGAAGAGATGTGGAGAGATAATTGAAGAAGAGAGTATCCAGTTTAAGTGGGAAAAGGGTGATGTACTCTTCCTTGATAACTTGGCTTTGCTCCATGCTAGGAGGCCCTCTCTTCCTCCTAGAAAAGTCTTGGTTGCCATATGCAACTAGCTCGGAATTGTTGGTCTTTTGCTTTGGAGTTGGCTTGTTTGAGATTCACAATAATTTAAAGTGCAACTTCTAAATAAATAAAACATAATCTTATTGTAATATTCTCATAATTGTAAAACTCTCTTCTACTGAATTACCTTTTCCTCCATAACACATGTAGTACACGTTTGGATGACAGTAATCTTAATTGTAAATAGAATATCCTGATTTCAATTACTATAATAATTTTATATTCAGTAATCTAGTATGAAAATTAATGTCATTCTCAAATTGTTTTAAGAAATAATTTAATTTTAAAAAAGAGATTATTTTAGTAGAACTTAATTTTTAAAATGAATTTAATTTTGGGAAAGAGTTTCATTTTAAATTTTTTATTTCTTATATAGAATACTCAATCAATGTAGGTATGATATTACCATCATTGGTCATGAGTTTAAGATACTCACCATTATTAGGAATTGGATTACAGTAATAATCTTATTCTCGAAATAGATTACTGAATAATTCACTCTCCAAACATGATAAACTAAGATTTAATTACCATCATTCAAACAGGGCCTTAGATGTATTTGCGATTCTCTCAATACGTAAGAATAAGTCATAAATCTTCTGCCTACTTTTCCATCTTCTTCTTCTTAGGTGGGAGTGTTTCTGTTAAGGGCACTACCCCCAAATCCTTCAATTTCAATATCAAATGTGACACAATTAACTGAACCCTACCCCATTAATACCCACAGTTGGGTTGAACTGTTCACCCATTAAAACGGTAGGTGAACTGAATTCAAAACATCATGTCAGAACTCTCTAAAATAAAAATCTTATCATGAAGCAGTTTTGACATCTCAGTCCCTCACCAACCCTCAATAGAGATTAGCCAATTCCAAGCTACACATGAAGCAGCAAATTTACCCATTGGACTAGTAATCCGATTGACTACAAATTGGACATATTTCAGAAGATCATTCAGGGTATCATCGCCTATACATATTCAGCATAAACCAAACAAAACAGCTACACAGCAACCAGCAAATGCATTAACATCAAACCAACAAGCAGCCAACAAATAAGCATCAGATCTCAATGATGTAATCCTTACAGCGGAGAACTATATGGTAGCTCAGGACTATCGAAAACAGCTTTGATCAGACACCAATCAGAACAAATATCACCAGGAGGCAGCGCCAAGGTACACCAAATGTGCCATTAGCATCCTTGAAGAACGCCAGTCCCAAGGTTATCTCTCGTAAATCTAAGTTTTCGGAATGATATCAGCAGAGAACTTTCATGTTTCAGCTTCAATTGCCACTTACTGCAACAATCTCAACCACTTCACAACCAGAGATATTCAGAAAATTGGAATCATCAGCTTGAGAAAAACACAATAGAATATTACCAATAAAGAGAAAATTATTCAGGGCTAAATATTAAAGGCAATACAAAATACATCCTAATTTTATTTCTCAGGTATAGATTAGTAGAACGCACAAACATTTCAAGCATGGCCCTCAGACAATACTGATAAACAGGTGGGCTTTAGTTTTCTAACCCGACAGTAAGGAAAAAAACACATGCTCTATGAACCACGATTGGAAAAGCCCCGACCACGACCTCGATTAACATAGCCATACCCCCTTCCATAGTAAGAACCTCGAAAACGGCCACCACGAACAGGCCCACGGCCTCCTCGACCACCCCGGTACCTTGAGAACTCGCCAAAGGTCTGCACCCATGAAACATGTAAGCATATTGGAAAGAAACAGCCATGTCTTGGGGTATCAAAGTCAAAGCAGTACATACCTCTGTGTCTATCTTCAATTGCTCAGAGAACCTAGTCCTTCCATTATTTGGATCATTATCAAGTGCAGTGCAAGAGAGGGAATCGAAAAAATCATCCTTATTATAGACTGGCTGCAGAACACAGAGCAATTGTGCGTAAATAAGGAGAATCTTCCTCTTGCAGAAAAAAAACAGATATAAAGCAGTGCACAAAATGGTAACCGACCTTGATCTCAAACTTCAGTAATTCAGCGTCATCTTCATATTGAGAATCATCATCATCATCACTGCCTTGTCCATCTCCTTCTTTATCCTTTGACTGGGACTTGCTACTTTTGCCAAGATGACCCCATACTTCATCCTTGTTGAATTTCTCATTCATTGCCATAAAATCAAACTCCTCAGTGAATTTTGTTAGTGGACGTGAAATCTGCAAGCAAAGTGTTCAACATTCCATGTCGTAAAACTCCTAACCATATCAGGCTATCTTTAACCAACAAATACATAATATACATTTGCCAAGAAGAAGTTCCAAACTGTGCTCAGAAATTCAATCAGATTTCATCACTCATCAACACAAAACCATTACAAAGACGAAACGTCGAGACCACATCTGTTCATCCATGACAGCTTTAAATTAGAGGGTGTGGGAAAGGTCAGCTAGGTGCAGAACTAATCTTTGGCTTTATAGACGCCAAGTGACTGCCCTCAAAGTTCCAAACACTAGGAGGACCCCATTTTTTGATTAAGCTTTCTATGGGAAGCTAACCAATACCCATTGCTTGGGCCTTCACCTGGGCCTGTAATGGCGGGAGTCAGAACTCCTCCCCAATGGACAAACCCGATCCATGCCCACTCACAGTAAGTAGGCAATGACCCCTACTTAATTATTTTAGGCCACAATTAAAAACTATACCAATGCCACATGATGTTGATAAAACAATAACAAATTGTACAATTACAAGGAACACTTGAGATCCAACAACGTCCTGCTTAACCACCGCAAGGGCATCCTAATGGGACAAGTACCCTTTCAAGTTGACCAGGTGAAGATAAGAAGGATATCCCTCTTTCTCATTTTTCAGATTCAAACTACAGATGCATACTCAACAGACGTGGCACACAACCTATCAGCAGCTTCTCAATTGAAATCCTTCTAATACAATCTCAAAAATAATCCCATGGAGAATTGAACAAATGCAGAACTTAAGAATTGCAGTAAACAATCGTTGAACACGCTACACTTGCACTGTTGCCCAATTCATGGAACTATGGAAGGCTTCCAAAGAACATGTCCATGCAAGTCTTAGTGTGAACTTCTTTTATTTCATTTATCAACAAGTTGAACCAGAGGAATATTTGTCTGAAATGTTTGAAATCCTCCGATATTCAGGGATCAACTCTCGCTGGCAAGCATCAGCTTGAATATATTGTGGGATCACTAAATAAGAATTAAAAGGGTGAATTTGTCCCTTTCCACTACCGTAAAACCACTTCATATTTTAAGGAACAAACGTGCAATTTTGAAGAATCATTTCCCGCTAAGATGTTTTATTGAACAGGGGTACCATTTAGTACGAAAACCAAACAGAAAGCATCATGTCTTATCTTTTGTGCATTATGTACATTGCCTTACAGGATCATTTAAAACAAAAATGCATGCATAACTCAATTTCCGAGAAATTATAGCATATGGACCCCACAAAAGAATTATTCTGTCATTAGATGTCCCTATGGTGTTGAAGGCACAGGAATTTTTCAAACTTTTGTCACATTGCTCTGTTCAAAGTGGAATTTACATTACTGACCTTTACAACAAAAGAAACATGATTTTAAAGAAGAAAAGAGAACATATGTACAACCACAGAAATTCAGGCAGTATAAAGAAGAGGTTGTCAACTTGGTTGAAATACATATTCATTGTTAACTTTAATACGCAAATAAAATAACAAATTACCCCAGTTCCTCTTCCTCTTCCACTTCCACGGCCCCTGTGGTTGTAATGAGTTTGAAAATGAGCTCCATTCGGCTAGAAAATAAACCAAAAAAAGGGAAGAACCTAAGTCAGAATCCCCATTTAAAACTCAATGCTTAACAGACAAAATGAAGCAATTTACTGAAAAATGCAGTTTAAGGACGTTGTACAGGAATGCGACCTAAGAAGATTTTTGTGTCACACAGATTTGTAAACAGAGCATATAATAAATACAATTCAAAATATCACTTGATATTTTAGATGTTGCCCATGCTAATCTGGTTTTAAATATATCACCTGTTCCCTTCACCATTTTGTGTCATTGCTTAAGGATCAATCAAAATGGAGGCATAAAATGCATCAGAATACTAAAATTGATTATGAAAGGCTTGTAACATATTGCAACTCCTCAACAACAAAATACTGGCACAGAAATATAGTCTACATGCATTGCCTAAAAGCATATGTCATTAAAATTACATCAAGCACTCAGCTCAGCTATTTCCTGTACTAATGAAGGCTTAACAATATATACAATGCCAGACAAGGACAGTTATCGTGACAGAAAGAGGATAGGGTGTGAGATTTTCCATTTCTTTCTTAAGTTGGGGGTTAGGGGAAAAAGTGAAAGGGGCAATAATATGAGAGAAAATACTAATGTTTTCCTAATTAGGTCAACAAATTAGGTCATACGTTTAGGTGAAAATATCATTACTCTTGCCAAGTAATGATGTTGGGACCTAATTTATTTCCTTAATTTGTTGATCTAATTCACTATGGCCTTTGAATTGATTATGGACCCCTTCTAACATTGGAACTTGGTGTTGATTCAATGACTGCAGGTATTGAATACACTTGGTAATTTATTCATAAAATGTACTTGATAATGAATGACTTAATAACTGCTTAATGTTATATAAAGATGACTCTACACTTATCAGGATACGTGAAAACGATAAGGGAAACCAATAACGTAGTCATATTCTCATGTACTTCTGCAACTCAAAAGTTTTAGTGATACTAATTCAGCTTCAGTGATAAATTTTCAGTCTTCTCAGACAACCTTTATGTTCCCATGAAAAATGAAGGAAACCCTTTTCCGCTTCTCTAGAAATTCAACTCCAAACGAGAATCGTATACAATGGAAAAATTTTTGGTAAGAAAATACAAAGGATCATTCTTCTTCTTGAAAGCATGCAATCTAAAAACCCAAAACATACCAAAGGGGAAAAATAGTATAAATTTATCAAATCAATAAATATAAGAGAGAAGCACCTTTGGGACACGTGAAGTTGGCGGTGTTGGCAGTATTGGGGGCTGAGCTTCTCCTACAACTGGTGCTGTCGGCTCCGATGATGGAGTTGGTGATACTTGAACCACCTCCACGTCTTTGTGAGCCATTTGTGAAGACTGGGACGAAGCAACTGCAGCAGGTCCAGACTTCAGCAGCTGACCTGGGGTTACAAGTGAAGGGGTGGGAGTCTCTGCTTGGATTGAACTGGATGTCCCGGCAACAGTGGATATAGGCTGCGACATGGTCTGATATGGCAAGGGTGGACCAGGAACTGCACTAGGCTTGTTCGAGATTGGAGGTCCAATTGCATTTACATCCAGAATTGGAGTAGTCAAGGGAGATAGTGGCTGTAAGCTAGCACTTAATGCTGCTGTAGGAATAGCAGAAATTGGAGCCTTGTTTGGTATCATGCTTGGTAATTTTTCAGAAGATAGCATCCCAGGTGGCACAGGAGGCAGAGTCGAAGGCAAAGTTGAAGGTGGTAAAGAACTAGTGGTTAAATTGAGGGAACTGGTACTAATGGGGACCAAAGGAGAAGAATATTCTGGCAGGTTTGAACCAGGCAAGCTAGGAGGTCCGATTGGCAAAGACGCATTGAAACCAGAAAACTGCATAGGCGGCTGCATGGAAGGAGGCATGGTCAGTCCAGGCGGTGGCCGAAGCAAAGACTGTTGGTGCAACTGAGGGAGCCCATTAGGTGGGCCATAGAATCCTTGCCAATACATTGGCATAGCAAGCCCAGCACCATTTGCATTTGGAGGTGGTGAAGGCCCCCAAGACCCTAAATTCCCTCCAGGTTGATATAAAGGCAGACCACCTTGGAAGGTCGACCCAGGGGGGCCTAACTGTGCAGTGCGGGAACTAAGATCTGACAGAGACCCAGTAACTGCAGTAGGCAAGCTTGTAGATGCAGAAGCTGGGCGTGGATAATGAGACTGCGTGCAAAATTGGGAGGATTAAGAATAAAACTAACTCGACCTGGTAAGCCATACATATGTGACAGTCCTCCTATCAGTTACCTGAATAATTGCTGGGTCACTGTTTATGGAAGGTGTACTTTGTACAGGAGGGGAAGATTTAACCTGCAAATCCTGCAAAGAGAACAACAAGTGTTTTTAAATTTAGCTAGTAGCAGTTGGAGAATTAAAAAAAAAAGGAAAAGAAGACTACTATGAACCATAAGTCCATAAGGTTATAATATAACACATTTTTCTTGCAGCATGTGTAGGATGGTAATTGGAAAACAAAAGGTAAATGACCAAAGCCGGAGGTTATTATATAGAGCCATTGCAGTCAAAAATAATTATCAACAATAGAGCCTCTAAGTGGAAAGTGAAGACAACGAAGAAACTTGGCCACAATGATGCATAACATACAGCAACAAGAGATGAACGGTTCGGGCAATTTATGAGATCACTATTTATTTCATGATGGACAGAGCAAGCAAAGGTTTACATGGTCTGTAAATAACAAATGATGGTGATTGCCAGCTAGTTCAGTTTTGCAGGTATTGTGCACATTTATACAAAATCCTATTAAAACAAAATAAAAAAGACAGACAAATCAAGTATATAAGTTCCAAACAAAATACCTTGATATCACTACCACGGAACAGAATGTATTCATAAACTTTATCACTAGGAGGGACTTGAGGACCATCCTTTTTACGTCCTTCTGTTCCAAATGATCTTACTGCCATGAGACAAATCAGAGCCCTCAATTAGATGGAATCCATAGCCAGAATGTTGAAACCAATGCAAATAAAAATAGAAATGGCATAAGAGATCAGAACTATCTAGAAAAAGAATTACTTCCATTGCAACTCTTAATAAGCAACAAGTTTTTAAAACTGATTATTATATGCAACAGTTTTCTCGTTTGCTTGTTTATTATGAAGAAAATTTGTTAATCTTTAATCCAGAACTTTGTTGCATCAGGATTTACAAAATTGCTGCAGCTTCTGAAATTTATTTTCATGGCACCGGTTCAATTTGCACAACTTGAAAATTTTTATAATTTGCAGTAATTTGAATTTAAAAATCTAAGCTTTATCTGTATTCTCATTTATAAGCTCTTCAAACCAATAAACCAAAACATGAGATCATGCTTAATGGGCCCTACACACAAAGAACATGAATTATCTTCAACTCTCTTGTCTCGGTCTTAATCTGTATATTCCATGTTGAAAATGAATTTGCACAACTCATATAACAAAGAAAAAGCAAACATTAGAATATCATATGCATTACAACTTAACTCACTTGAAAACATAATCTATTGGCTGCATAAGTAATTATTCAAAAACAACGATGTGCTATAAGAGTTCAATTAACCTCAAGAAATAAGCCACTGCATGAAACAATATAAGAATAATTATCTCATTTCTGTATCCAGTTTATGCAGGATGCTAGGTGTCAGAAATGATAGACCTCATCTTTTTACATAGCTGCACCAATGGCCCCCAAACACAAGCACCCGTCTTTGTAACTTTTTCCAGTTTAAGTATAAGTATATATACAATTCCACATAAAATACACACATATGACTTTATCTAATCACTGTGCTGTATAGCTAACACCAAATAGCAAAACCAACAGATCATTCAAAATTACCAAATGCCAAAAACTCACCAAACTACTACAAAATATCCAAACTCTTCGAAACAACAACACTAATTTTTTCAGTTCAATGCAACGCAACCACTAAAGATCAAGTTTTACTTTCAATTCAAAGCTAAAAACTAATTTATAGTTCACTGTAGTCCACCTAATATATCTAATTAAACAAAAAAACAATGATGCCCAAACAGAAAACGTATGAACAAAAATACATCTAAAAACCCTACAATATCTCAGAAATCAACAAAAACAAACAAAAATCGTAATAAAATAAGAGGGCTTTACCGTTACGCAATCCGATACTGGACTCTTCAGTGTTGATGTTGTACAAGATGCCCTCGTATCTGATTTCACTCTTGGAAGTCAAGCTAATAAGGCTACCGATGTAAGAATCAGCCGAGGTACCAGATCTAGACGAACTCTCAGCCGCCGCTGCCGCCATACTCAGCCTTCGCAAGAGCGGCGTAAGTTAGATATAGAGAGAGAAAATCCTACTCTGCTGTTGATTTTAGAGAGAGGAAGTGGGGGGGTTGTTGACTCGTCCGTAGCTGGTGAGGTGGGTTGAGAGAGAGAAAGGCTATATAGGGTTTCAGTTTCTAGAGCAAAACGGTGCGTTTTGGTGAATTTAAGGCGTTCTGTTCTGTTTGGGCCAGGAGCACATCTGTGGACTGTGTTTGGATTGTCATTTGGCTCATTTGCCGTTTCTGTTGAAATCTCCAATTATAGAAAGCCACGTGGCCAAGCTTAACCTGGACGGTCTTTTTTCTGAATTTCGGTGCAAATGGAGAAAACTACGGCATCAGCCGTGGTATCGTACCAAAATTTTTTATTTTTTAAGTTTAAGTTATAATTTTTTTAATGTAAAAATTATAATTGTAAAGAGCGCAGTCGATTTTGAAAGATTGTGATCGATATCAAAAATTTATGATTGAGAGCATTGACATAAGTGATCAATCATCGTCTTCCTCTGAACAATTATCATTTTTCATTTAAAATTTTAACTTTTACCATAAAAAATGGAAATTGATGGTACAGTGCCCAAAAAAAAATTCGATACCGTAAATTTTTCCCTCGATCAAAGTAATAATATTTAAACTTACAAAAACTTAACCTAATTTATTAAATTACATTATGGTTGGTCCAAGATGATATTTTTGGGAGAGAATGGAATGAATAAATCAATGTAATAAATTTAGAAATATAATAGGATGTGATGTACCACCAAAAAATAAATATAATAGAATGTGCATTACAATTTTGATATTTGAAAACAACTAGAATTAAAACTTTATTTGGATATTTGGTTAAATAAACATTTTTCTCATAAATTAATTATATTTAATCAAAATATTCTTCATGCCATTAAAATAATATAATTTTTTTATTATACCCAAACTCATAATCTCATACTTAAGACGTGTTACGAAACTCCGCCCTAAACTCAAATTCCTGATACAAACTTGAATTTACTCCCAAAACCTTAGTCTCAAGACCCAACCTTTGTCCCTGATGAGACTCTGGACCTCGTCCTTGCCTTTACCTAGACCGACCCTAGACTAGTACCTCAGCTCCCAATCCAACCTCAGGCTTGGACCCACAATGTGGACTGGGACCTGACCCTAAACAAGGATCCCAAACCCCAGTCCATGGTCCCAAATCGAAGCCTAGACCCAACCTAGACTACGACCCTGAACCTAAACTATATAACTGGGTGAAGGTAGAGATGATAATGGTAATGGTGGTGGATGGGAACTTGGGAATGAGGGGTGGTAACAACGGTGGTAACCGGTAATTGGTTATACAATATAAAACTAGTTTAGTGTGCATCCTTGTGTTTTGTTTTATTTGAATATTTATACATTTGAACATAATGACGTGACAATCACTCGAATGTCAGTGTAAGAAGTGTTTCTCTCATCACGTCTCATTAATGTATGATGGTGACATTATCAGGAGTTGGATGCTCAAGATAGACTAAACATTCATAGCCTCACGGCCTCGCAGACGTCAAGTCATCTCGAACATTAAGTGTTCTGCGATAAAATATTCACAATCTACTATTGAATATTTAAGAGTAGGCGCCGAGATCTCGATTGCGATGCCCTTGAGGACTATTCAATTTCAGTAAGAATCGTGCCTTGTTTTTTAGGTTGTTAAATGTGAGTCTCTTATCGACAGACTAACAATTATTGTTTGTTGCAACAACACAATGCACAAGGTTCACCGTTTGATGACAATTGATTCTTTGGAGGGACTGTATACCTATTTGTTTCTTACAGGTCATATACTCTCTGCCTATGTTTGTTGCACGTTCTTGATCTTTAAAATTTTAAAGGATATATTTTGCTATCGATAACAAAATACATGTCAACTAATGATTGACAAATCGTCCATGTCCCGTCAATATTTATGTCCAACCATATTACACCTACAGTGTCAAATTGACAACACGTGGGGAAGAAATATATTCCAAACAAGGAGAATTAGGGTATGCATGGTCAGTGTCCCTTGTCCGACCCAGATGCCCCAATCAACAAATACTGAAGGGTAGTCATAGTTTTAGACCTCGTGAGTTGGCTAAGCGACATTGTTCTTACGAGACAGGGATTTGTATCGTCGGCCGGAGCAACCTGGATCATGCACAAAAATATATTCATTACAATTGTGATACTAGTATATTACATTAATATTGTCTTGTCATATCACAAATTAATAATGTGTAAATAAATAAAAAAAAAACGGATCTCACACACCTCCTATCATTAAACTATTATTTTTAGCAAAATTTTTTTTATCTAAAATACCAAAAATTGCCCTACAGAAACCCCAAACAATCATTTTAGATAAAATTTGATTAAAATTTGAGTCGATTAAAATTTATTTTTTTATATATTAAAATTGGAGTTGATTAAAATTCTTTTTTTTATATATATTAAAATTTGAGACGATTAAAATTTGATTCGGCCTAATTAATTTTTTTTTTTATGTATTAAAATTCATACCCATTAAAATTTCTTTTTTACGTAATAAAATTTGTGTCGATTTAAGCTCTATCTGAGCTATTAGAGTTAATTAAAATTTGTTTCGAATCGATTAAAATTTATATTTTTTTACTTATTAAAATTTATGCTAATTAAAATTAGATTCAATAAAATTTGAGTCGATTAAAATTTATATTTTTTATGTATTAAAATTTGGGTCGATTAAAATTCAATGTGAGTTGATTAAAATTTAAGTTGATTTTTAATCTGCTAAAATTTTAATATGTTAAAAAATATAATTTTTAATCGACTCGAATTTTAATATATAAAAAATAAATTTTAATTATTTAAAATTGAATTTTAATCGCTCTGAATATTAATCCGTAAAAAAATTTAAAACTAAAGAGGGTCTTATTAAAAATATATCTATCTAGAGTGGGTGTTCATGACATTTTTTCTTAAATATATGATAAATAATTTAATAAAATTATATTTTAATTAATATTTTTAATCTAATAAAGTGGTGTTCATGAAGATTTAAAAAATAAAAAATATGTCTTTAAAAATATAATAAATTATATTAGTTGGAGCTTAAAAATCTGGAATTTCCATGTTGTTAGTGGGCGTGTAGTTCAAATACATGTTCGGTCTTCAGAAAACGAATTGACGGTGGGAGAGTCATCTTCGTTAAACGGGTTTTCTTTTTCCGTCAGACGCATTTCGTTCACGACCATCCAAAGAAAGAAAATAATCGTTGTTTCGTATATTCCGTCAACCTCCGGTTACTTCTCTGAAGTTCTTACTCTGCAAATTAGGGCTTCAAGAAACTACCTTAACTCACATTACGATTTGATTTCCTTCATGTAATTACCCACTATCGGATTGTTTGGGAGTTTTAGTTCGTGATGTTCACGTCGCAGAGAAAGCACTGGCCGGCGTTATCGGTGACGCCACGAAATGAGGCACCAAAGAGTGGAAATACCCCAAATTCTAGGGACTTGAGGAAGGGGAAGGCGGTGGCGTTTCATGATGGCCCGCCACTGCCACCGCCACCGCCACCACCGGTGGGCTCGTTGAATGAGAGTGTTGCGAAGGTGGGTGGTGATTTGGGGAATATGGAGGATTGGAGGAGGTTTAGAGAGGTAGGGTTATTGGATGCTGCGGTTATGGAGAGAAGGGACCAGCAGGCCTTGTTCGAGAAGGTTTCTAAGCTCGAAAGAGAGGTTGGTGGATTAATTGGGGTCCTGAATTAATGTTTTAAACTTGAATCATGTGTTGTTTTACAATTCTTGTTTTTAGGGTAAATGTATACGTTGGTATATTGCTGTGATCTGTTCTATTTATCCGACGGTTTTGTTAGTTGCCTTGGCAACATAATTTATCACCTTGTATCACGGGAAGTGTTAAATGTATAATATGGGATTTACAATGCTGAAAGTAGATGCTGTTTTATAGTATTGTGGAGATGATGGTGGTCAGAATGGCTGCGCATGACATTGAGTGAAGCTTATCAATTGTTGCACGTTTCGTTGGGTTGATTGGTGAATTATGTTCAAATGCCAGAATTCTCGGGGTATTCATGCTGAGAAAAGAGGGAAAAATTTAGAGGCGTCAAATAAACAGATGTTTTGTGTATTCTTGAACTTGAGACCCGCCCTCGCCCTTGTGATGTCTATATCTTCGGTTTTTTGGACTTATGATGTAGCATTTGTAAGTTTCAGAAAGAGAGGAATTGTTTGTGATTCCATTTTGAGCAGAAAATTTAGAATTTTCTTTAGAGAGATCCCCCTTCTTTTAGATTTCTTTTATAAAAATATCTATCATGAGAGTTTCTCGTAATTTCCTTGGATGTGTTACTTAATGTGATCTTATTTCTTAGTAATAATACTGATAATTTTCTTGTTACCATGTCCATAGTTTTCGTTTATGCTAATTTTTTTTTGGTATGAGAAGATATTATTGCTTATTTTCCAGTTTTAAGATCATGCTTAAAGATTCTCTTTCAGACTTGGTAATGCCATCTGTTTTTTGATTTATTGTCCAACCAGCTTTTTGATTATCAGTACAATATGGGACTTCTATTGATTGAGAAGGAGGAGTGGACTTCAAAGAATGCAGAATTCAGAGAATCACTGGCAGAAGCACAGGAGGCCCTCAAACATGTGCAGACGGCTCATTTGATTTCAATATCTGAAGTTGAGAAGCGGGAGGAGAATTTGATGAAAGCTTTAGGTGTTGAAAAGCAGTGTGTGGGTGATGTAAGACAATTTTGAATATTTTATTATTTTCTCGAAATTACTTGCAGATAAATGTATCTTGAATGTGTATGATTTGGGTGTGGTTATTCCATAGATCTCAAATCCAGATGCTGACGTTTGACAAACTTTTTGGCTTTCTGATGTTGCAAATATTTACCCTTTTTTCTTTCCTTATTAATTCTGTATGTCGAGACTAAATTTCAAGTGACAAAGTCTGTGGTGCGGCTCTTATTTTTGGACTCACCCCTGACATGCATGAGATGCAAAATCCCTAACAGTTACCTTAGTTAAAAAAACCCTTTACATTCTTTGATATTATTTTCCTGTTACATCAATAGTTTGGTCTTTGTAATAGGTCATTATTTCTCCTTTAAGCCTCTGTACAAGCTATCAATTAGATTAATGATTTCCCAAGCCCATGTAGTGATAGTATTACTGATGGTTTTAGCTAAGGTTCTCAAGAATGATGACTTCTAGTGAGACAAGGGAGACCAGAAAGGAAAGAATTGAGACTTCCACAAAAATATCGCCACGGTTCTTGTCATCAATTTTTACATATTACCTCCAATTTTTTTTTTTTGGAAGTTAACTGGAGTTTGATAAGTTTGACTGAAGGTTAGAAACTTTATTTTTTCTCTTCCACCTGAATGGTTGGATGTCCAAGGAGCTTGGGGCTTATATTTTAGTTCTACAAAGGAGTACTGCCCTTACGTTCTGTCTCATAGTGGTGATTTTATTAAGCACGCAATTGTTGTAATTAGCACAATATTTAATTTTTCAGTCTTTATGATTGGCTGAGGTGCCTGAGATGATCAATTTTTTTTTTAACCAAAGTGGTCATTTGCCTTCTGAGAGTTGACAATTTCTTTCTCGAGGTCTTCCTTTTCATGTTCTCTAACGTAGTGCACAACAAACTGCTTAAAGCATTTTGCTATTTATTTTACTTGTTTCCTTGCTGGTTCCTATACCTTCCATCAAGCACTGTCCTATGCGGAATTGCTTCCATTGTATGTCGATTTGTAATTGCTAGGAACATGGTTGTTTTGTAGTTTGGAGTCTCTTATATCTTTGTTGTACCTTATGCCGATTTCACAGCTCATGCTTCCTCGCTGCAGCTTGAGAAGGCTTTACATGAAATGTGTTCAGAGCATGAACAAATAAAGCTTGCATCGGAGTTGAAGTTGGCTGATGCAAAAGTTTTGGTGACTGGAATTGAGGGGAAATCTTTGGAGGTGGATGGAAAGCTGCATGCTGCTGATGCCAACCTTGCTGAGGCGAGTAGAAAAAGTTTGGAGTTGGACGGGAAATTGCAAGAGGTTGAGGCTCGTGAAAGTGTTCTTTGGAGGGAGCACCAGTCTCTTAATGCAGAGTATGATCTGTGCTAATGTTACTGATCTCTCTTTTTTCAAAAACTTGGGATGAACTCCAGGTGGAGTCTTCCCCTGATCGAGATATCTGTTTCGTGGGCAAAACATTTATTGAATCATCATAAATTTGGGTTACATTCTTGCAGGCGAGAAGCACATGAATTGTCTTTTGCTAAACATAGAGAAGATTTGCAAGAGTGGGAGAGGAAACTGCAGGAAGGGGAAGAAAGGACATGTGAGGGACGCAGAATTATCAATCAACGAGAGGAAAAGGCAAATGAAATTGAGAGGGCTTTCAAGCAGAAAGAGAAGGAACATCAAGAAGCACAGAAAAAGATTGATTTGACCAGTTTGACTTTGAAGAAGAGAGAAGATGACATAAGTGATAGACTAGCAGACTTAATTGTAAAAGAAGAAGTGAGCTTCAGATCTATATGTGCTGTTTTCATATTAATCCACTGTTCTATTTATAAATTTTTTCTTTTGTTTGATTTGGTTGCAGGAAGCTGAGTCACTTAGAAGATATTTAGAGGCAAAGGACAAGGAATTACTTACTTTGACAGAAAAACTGAGAGCCAGGGAAAGAGTGAGTGTCATCTTTTGATCTTACATTGCTGACTAATTATGACTAGTTGAGATGTTTTTAATAAATAATTCTAAGTTCATCTATATGCTTCTGATGGAAAAAATGTTCAGCCTAGTTTTTTTTGGTTTGTTATATTGACAAATCTTTTTATTCTTTTGTGTAGCTTTCTTTTACCTTTAGATTCTTCCAAACTCCGTAGATTTTTTGGGTAACTTACACTTTTTGGCTGGTGCCTAGTTTTGTTAGCTTCCCTATGCCTACCATGTACATCCCATCCCCCCCCCCCTTTTTTTCTCTTTTTGGTACTCTTGGATGCCTTTTTAAACCATGGAACATTGATTTTAAATCAAAATTAAGTGAAAAACTGTTGTTGTAGTTATTCTACTTTTCTCTTAACAAGATCTTAATATGAAAGATTGATGTTCCTGAAATTGAAAATATATTGTTGTAAAAATAGACATCAAATCAGTTGGGATATTGGCTTTCTCTGTTGATCATGGAAAAAGTGACGGGCATCTGGTTATGAAGTGATAAAGCAAACAATCAGTCCATGCCTTTCAGGAAAAGTACCCTGTGCAAAAGGCTCCTGGCGATGTTGTGGTTGGGGAGGTGAACGGTAAGATAGTCTTGCAGTTATTTTTGAGAGGTTGATTCTCTGACGAGTATACATGACGTACTGCTTGGGCGGATGAGCACTTGCCATTGCTCCAGCTCCGAACTCTAATCAATGTCATTCAGGAAGTTGTTTTAGATTGACAACTCCAGATTTGCAGTGTAAAACATTTAGATTTTATTTGTTTGTCAAGTCTTATGCAGGAAAGTGGTTTGTGGGTAAATTGCGTCAAAGCAAACGAAAAGAAAAAAGAGGCAAAATGAAAAGATAAAGGAAGTTACTTTTCTTACATCCATTTGGTTTATGACCAAGTTTTGAAGTTAAATGTTTTTAGCAGGCAAACTCAATGTTGAAGATCTAAAAATTTTTATTCATAGTTTGGAAAACTAGGTATATTTATTTCAGGTGCCCCTGGGGGGTCCCCTACCTTCCCAAACAAAAAAAAAACTCCACACCCCTACACCAAATAAAATCAAGTGGAAAAATTGAGGTTGGAATGTCTTCCACAATGGAATTTAATAAGTGAGATTTCGAATAAGTGTTTACATAATCATCTTTTGTCTGAAGAAATGATTCATTGAAATAATGAGTCACCATTGATATCGACACACATGAGATCGCCAAAATATTCTGAAGTTCCTCTGGTCAATCATTTTCCTTCTTCTTGTTGCTATACCTATCATTCGTACAAATCTTCTCTTTATTTCTCGGGTCTCAAGTGAGTTATAGACAGTGTTCGAAAAGGACAAATGTTTGATGATTCCATCATCTATGATTGACTTGTGAAACTTTTTGGATAGCTCTTTTACATTTGAACCGAATTCTTTTTGCTTAAACAATCTATTTTTAGTTGCTTTGAAACAAGTATGAGATTTTTTTTAGATGAGATATGGGGCTCTGATTCTGGTGGCAACATGCTATTTGTCCAACTTATGAGATTAAAGAAAACATATTTGAATATCAATCTCATCGCATATACTGCTTTAATATAAAAACATGGATGTGTTGTTTGGTTATTGAGACACTTGTGGAGGAAAGTATATTGTGGGAAAATTGGATGAAAGTAAAGGAGAACAGACTCCGTGAACATGCTACGCCCCCTTTACTAATAAGGGAAAGAAAGTGTCAACCAGAACAACATTGCTTTTGCGTGTGGATGTAGCTAAGTGTCTTATTCTATTGGTCATAGTTTCCTGCTGTTGCGGCGGGTGCTCGTTTGCGCACGCATGAAAATGAAGACGCGTTCCTTCACCAACATCATTATCTGTATGATCATAATGTGTCCTGTAACTAGTCCTTATTTCACAATTATGATTCTTTTCCCTTCCCCCATAAGTTATTGTGATGCACATGATATGGAAAATCCAGGAACTTGTATTGAAATTCATGATGCTTTTCTCTCTCCCTCTCTCTGTCATGCACACATTCATACCACTAAAGGATCTCTGGTCCACTTTTCATTGGCTATTAGCTATTTTGGGTGTCCACTTCTTTGTACTTTATGCTATCTTCAGTGAAGATTTTTCATTTCTCATCTTAAAAAAATTTAGCTCCTTTTGAAATTGACGTGAAAGGATTGATGTTTGGTGATTAATTCAAAATTTTAGAACTTTTTTCCAAGGATCTGATAATTAGACTGGTTTGATCTGTTACAGGTGGAGATTCAGAAGCTTCTTGACGAACACAGGGCTGCCCTGGATACAACGAGGCAAGACTTTGAGTTGCAAATAGAAGAAAAGAGGAAGTCTCTTGATGATGAGATGAGAAGCAAGGTTGATGGTGTAGACCAGAAGGAAGTTGAAATTAATCATACGGCGGAAAAACTTCAAAAACGAGAGCAAGCGTTGGAAAAGAAGTCGGAGAGGGTTAAGGAGAAACAGAAAGACATTGAAACCAAGTTGAAATCTTTGAAGGAGAAAGAGAGGTCCATCAAGGTTGAGGAGAAAACGTTGGAGTTAGAAAAGAAACAAGCACTTGCTGATAAAAAGAGTTCGCAAAGTCTGAAAGAGGAGCTTGAAAAGCTACGGTGTGAGATTAGTCAAAGGGAACTGCAGATTCATAAAGAAAGTGAAGAGCTTAGAGTAGCTGAAGAAGAGAAGGCAGAACATCTCCGATTGCAGTCAGAGTTGAAAGAGGAAATACAGAAATACAGACTCCAGAAGGGGTTATTTTTGAAGGAAGGGGAGGATCTAAAACAGTGCAGGAAGAAATTTGAAGAAGATTGGGAAGCATTGGATGAAAAAAGAGCTGCTTTTACTAGAGAGCTAAGGGAACTTAATGAAGAAAAAGAGAAGCTAGAAAAATTGCGACATTCTGAAAAAGAGTGGTTGAGAGAAGATAAACTGGCCACACAGGATTACATTAAGAGGGAGTTGGATGCTGTTGAAGTGGAGAAAGAATCATTTGCTGCCACAATGAGGCATGAGCAATCAATTTTATCAGAAAAAGCTCAAAATGAACATAGCCAATTGATTCGTGATTTTGAGTTGCGCAGAAGGGATCTTGAGACAGATATGCATAATAAGCAAGAGGAAATGGAGAAAAGGCTACATAGAAGGGAGAGAGTGAATGAGGAGGAGAGGGAGAAAGAACTTACTAGAATCAGTAATTTAAGGGAAGTAGTCCAGAAGGAAATTCAAGAAATGAGGTCTGAAAAGCGAAGGATAGAAAAGGAGAAACAGGAATTTGCCCTGAACAAGAAGCAACTGAAAGAATACCAGATTGAAATGCACAAGGACATTGCTGAGCTTGGCGTTCTTAGCAAGAAGCTCAGGGATCAGAGAGAACAGTTTGTTAAGGAGAGACACAGGTTTCTTGCACTAGTTGAGAAGCTTAAAAGTTGTGGAAAATGTGGAGAGATCACTCAAGAATATGTTCTCTCTGATCTCCAGTTGCTTGAAATGGAGGATAGGAAGGCTTCTCCTCTTCCAAGGCAGGTTGATGAATTTGTGGAGAACTCTCAGGGTGGTCTGGTTGCTTCTCATGGAATGATGTTTGAGACATCTCCTGCCAGAATAGATTCGAGATCTTCAGATTCTGTGGGCCCAATATCGTGGCTCCGGAAATGCACCTCAAAGATGTTTAACTCATCCCCTAACAGAAAATTCCAGCATGTGGCCTCTCAAAGCTTTGGTGGATCACCTTTATTGGATACACCAGTCAGTATCAATGAGAAAACTGAAGGACCAAGTAGGGTAGCTGATATAGAAGAAACAAGAGGCCAAAGTATTGCTGAAGATGGGCCAGAGCCTTCTTATGCCATGGCAAACGAGTCCGTTGATGCTCAACAGTTAACATCTGATAACTTAATTAGAGAGATCGATAATGGGCATGCACCTTCTGTTGATGATGGTAGCAACATGGGCAGTAAGATACACGTTCCAGAAGAATCCCATCAATCAGAACTGAGAAATGGTCGACGCAAACCTGGGAGAAAGCCAAAGGTTGGAATTTGTAGAACGCGCTCCATGAAGGCAGTGGTTCAAGATGCTGCAGCCTTTCTAGGGAAGACTTCAGAAGGAACAAACATGAGAAAGGAGCAGCACAACATTTTGGATCATATAAATGAGGGAAGTCGGGCAGATTCCAGCCATGCTGGGGAAGCATCTGGCACCATTCTGAGAAAGAGACAACATGCACAATCCTCTAGAATCACTGGCAGTGAGCGGGATGCTGATGATAGTGAAGGGCGTTCTGAGAGTGTCACGACTGGTGGTTGCAGGAAGAGACGGCAAATAGTTGCTCCAGTTGTGCAAACCCCAGGAGAAAAACGATACAATCTTAGGCGTCACAAGACGTAAGTTCTAGTTTTTTGTGTGTTACTGATGTGGTGTATTGAGATCCTGTGCTTGTGTTGTGATCAGAGGGATTTGAAATCAGGATGAATTGAAGATGAGAGGCTACGATTTACAAATTAAAGTTTTCATGAAAACTAATAATGAAAAGAATGTTTAGGATTCATCCACTTCTGCCTTGTCAACAGAATTGAATGTGCTTGATCTGTTCTTTGTTGCTGGGAATGACTCGTGCTCATCAAGATGTTGAAGAGGTGGAATGTAGGATAAGTGGTTCTATTGATAGTGTCAATTTCCACTCTGATATTTAATCAATGTAAGCCTCAACATAGCTGTTTAGGCATGTGGGCTCGAAAGAGTCCCCCCCGGCCGTTGTTATTAAAGCCTGTCCAACCGGTGACTAAGCCGGTATAGTTTATAAATAGGATCATTTATACAACCAGACGATTTTTACTAAACGAGTACAGATTGGCTGTGTTGCATCAAACCAGAGGACAAGCTTTTCTATATTTAAACTTTTTTTATATCTTAAAAGACCCTTGTCTTGCCTCATTTAATGAGGCCTTCCAACTAGAGTCAGCTTTTTGAGGTGGCTGTACTACACCTCTTAGTTCTTTTGGGCGCATTGCCCCTTCTCCCTTCCTGTATCTTTCCGGTATGGGATTAGATGACACCCATAGGCTTGCTCTCTCTTCCATTTTGTAGTGGTCTTGGTTACTTGTTTTTTTCTTCCAATTTTTTTTTTGTTTTTACATGCTTCTATTTATGTCAATCTTCAATACTACTCCCTCCGTTCCTAAATATCTGTCGTTTTACATAATTTTTTTTGTTCCACAATATCTGTCGTTTTATGAAAACAAAGCATAATTAATATTTTTTCTTTCAAATTTACCCTTATCTATGTTTTCCAATAAGTGTTTAATAGATTAAGTGTAGGCTAAGTGCCTTTCATAATCCTTTTTTTTCCTAATACGTATTAAATAAGGGTATTTTAGTCTTGTGCATTTATTTTTTACTCATATTAGAGCTATTTAATAGCTTCCTTAATCACTGTGTAAAAACCTTAAACGACAGATATTTAAAAATAGTTTGTGAATTTATTTTTAGTAATTGTGGATATTTTGTGTTTTTTATTTGATCTACTATACCATAAAACTTATTGGTTCTATAACTATTATAAAGTTTTAGCATATTCATTGTTATTAATAATCATTTTGTATTTTTAACTCCATGATTGGTCTAATTACTTGACTCAACAGCTAAACTAGTGACTCATTGACCAGGTCCCTCTGTTGTGTCAATGTCCGGTTCGGTTCTGATAACTATGCTATGCCCCTAGCTCACCAATGTAAAGCTAAGTTTCGTGGTTCTATCTGGGCGGGGGCAACCTCATGTTTGTTGCATCTAAATCCCATAGGCTTCTGTATCATTGGAGCCTTTTTCTATTATGTGGACAGTCCCATCTAATTTGGTTGATGCATATGTACAAATTAGAAGTATGTGTGTACATTGTTTTAGCTAATTTTCTTACTGACATCCCAATACATTCACCTTTTTCGGATTATTTATTGATTCTTTGCCTAGTTTGGGCTGTTTGTAGTTTACTTGTTTCAAATGCAAGAACTCTTTTTTCATCTTGGTGCCTCGTGTTTTTTACTTTGTTCATGCTGGCATTTTATGATGCACCCTGTTTTAATGTCAGAATATATTTGCGAATTGGAGCATGTTGAGCCTATAAGAGCCGAGTCTCACAACATATATTTATCTATCTGTCCTTGTAAATGCTGCAGTTGTTGAAGTTATGGCCAAACCTGAGTGACTACAACTTCAATAAAGCATAGTTTGCATTTTTTGGAAGAGTGTAATGCTTCCACGTCAATGGTCATTGCATTTCAAGTTTAAAAAATTGAAGCATCAGAATCTGTCCTTGTATTCTTAATTATGTGGCTTTTACGGATAAAGAATGAACAGGGTGAGCCTGTCTGGACAAACCATATGGAAGGCCATTTACAATCAATAGTTTCTTTTATATGTTTATTTTTTAGTGGATTTCTTATCCACTAGTTGTGTATATTTTTGCATATTTCATTCTATGAAATGAAAGTTTTGTTTCCTATAAAAAAGAAAAACAATGAAGAAGAAACATTCTGTTGAATTTGAATTTCCAAAAATGTCGGAAGTAATATGCTCTTAAAACTTTGTTTTGAGGGAAGTTTGTCATAATTGGTTGAAGGGGAAAAATAAAACCTTAAAGACATTGCCTCTCCTTAAGGGGTTGAGGAAATAAAAATAACTGAAGTCTCTTTATCTTTGTTAAGGTTTTTAATGTTGGAGCAGTTCACAAGTCTTTTTATATTCCATAAAATGGATTTTCACTGTTGGAGCAGTTCATCTTTTGAACTGAAGGATGGTGGTTGTCTAAAGAGGTGTAGTGGGAGCACTTTATGCAAAATTTCCAAATTTCTGGTGTCACCTGTGATTTTTTTTTTAAAAAAATTTTGTTTAAACCTCAGGATATAGCTTGTCAAGTGCCAGCTGATGCATATTTTTATGAAAGCTTGGTATAATCTTTTCTCTGTCATTCGTTCTTGCTTTCTTTCGTTCTCGCTTTTTGACGGGGGCTTTTGCATTTTCCACCTGCGGCTTTTTTTCTCCTGGTGTTTTTATTGCAAGAAACGAGGAGGAAAGAAGCTTGACTCGACCGATTCAGGAAAAGAAAGTCACCAGTGAGGCTTTAAGGAAAAGTTGCATATATATAGAAGATATCAATAAAGCTTGGTTGGAGAAAACATAAATATTATTGTAACAAGTGAATGAGATAGACAATTGCTTTCATATATGTCACATGCTGTATATGATTAATTCAGTTATTTTAGTTGTTTTGTTTACTGGTGTCCACTCATTCATAGATATTTGCCTGGACAATGATCAGTGTAGGAGTGGGTGTCGGAGCTGCTAAAGTTTCGGTTGATACGAAGGGGAGTAAGGAGAAGGAAGTTGGTGCTCTTGATACAGTGGAAGGAGCACAAAATCCTGTAGCTGATGCTTCACCGAGATTAGGGGTTGTCAGTGCGAATGACAATGGAACGCGGTTGGTGCAGGTGGTAACTCACAAAAGTGTTGAGACTCAGGAGTATACATCAGATAGGGTTGTCAGGGTAAATCCCTCCCCTTCTAAGCATGCAGTAGTACTTCTGGATCAGTTTTTTGGCTTAGTTTGTTTATGCCGTCTATATTCTCGTTTGCTGTAATGCAGTTCAAGACACCCACATACATCGATGACAGCACAGATGCACCAAGGTCAGTTGAAAATATGGAATCGTTTAAAGGGCTAGATGGTGTCATTGGTATGCCAGAACATGGCAGCGGAGATGAGAATGGAAGCACAATCTATAGTGAAGTTGGAGAAGGAGAAGGAGAAGGAGAAGAAGACGATGATGATGATGATGGGGATGATGAAGCAGAGCGTCCTGGTGAAGCATCAATTGGAAAGAAGCTGTGGACTTTCCTCACATCATGATTGCTGCATTTTTTCAAGTATTTTGCAGGGGTTCTCCCACCCTCTCACTCTCCACACACACACACACACACACTGTGTAGTAACACACACTCGAACTCTCCACACACACATCCAGGTCCAGTTCAAGTCTGACCTTTTGTATGTTTTAATATGTTTTTTGCTTATGGATTTTGGATTCTCATGGTAAGGTTGTTCCATTGTAACCTAGAGATTACGTGTTTGAGTTGCAAAAATAGTTTCGCAGCTTGCAGGAGTAAGGTTACAGAAATAGTTTCTCTACTTTATCAATAGTAGTCTCCTTTTGATCTCTCAATTTCCAATTGTGAGTGGACAGACGGGAACGAAAGGATTTTTCCTAGCAACCCCCAAGTTCCGGACTCGGGAATTAAGGGGGTGTTTGGTTTGAATTTGTAAAACTGTTTTTTGTTCTCAAATTTTTAGAAAAAAAAGGGAGAATTGGAGCAAAAAAAATAAAAAATAATCCACACTTGTTTTCAGACTTTCCTTTAAAAATTTTGTAAACACAGAGACAGGATTTTTTGTAATGAGATCTGTCTTTTGAGTTCTCATAACAGTAAAAGACTTTTTTTTTTCCCTTCCCCCTCTCTCTCTCTCCACTTTGTGCATCAAATAGAACGACAGAGGAAGATTCAAATCCAGCGTTTTCTCCGGCATCAGATCTCTCTCTCTCTCAACTACAAATTCAGATCTACATATCTATGCGAGTTTTGTGTGTGTGTGTGTGTTTTTTTTTGTGTATGCCTCTGTGTGTGCATGCGTTTGTGTGTGTGTGTGTGCGTGTATTTTGTGATCATCCATCCCAATTGTTGGACTTTAAACTTATGAGTTTGAACCTATTATTCTCCTCTCAATGATGGTGTCTGACTAAAAGAAAAAGTGTGCATGGTAATTAATGAATGTACTCACCTACTATGCTGGCTGAATAAAAAGTGAGTTACATTTTGTCCTCGAGGGAATGGAGTCGTAAGGGACTGCCATTTTATTGCTGATGATACAGTTCTATACTGATATGAGCAAGCAATGGCGAAGCAACATTGAGCCCGATGGTGTTATTATGGGCCCCCCTAGAATAAGAAATCTCCTTTTAGCCCTGTAGAGTTGATGTTATTTTCTTGGTTTATTTACTTAGCAATATTATTGGGACATAATTTATTAATTGTAGGTCCCATCAAATATTAAAATTTGATACTGATTCAATGATTTCTATGTAGCCATATCATTATATCAATAAATTAAGTCAAATTTTTAAGTCAAAATAATATTATTCGTACTTGAATGATAGTTCACTCATAATTAAGCTTGTTAATGAATCGATTTTCATTCAAATTTAATTAGTTTAATATAGATTTATATTTTTTCCCAATGATTTTTAGAATCAAAATTTGGATGTGTTATATCATGTTTTAGGATTTGAATTTGGTTATTAATATATTAGATCTGATTGTAATTTCATCTGAATTACATATATCGTATGTATATATGATAAAACGAGTCGAAAAATGAGGTTCACTTGTCCATTTGTTAGATTATTATTAAGCGGTTATACTAGATGACAATGCTAATGTGGTGTAATTGTTACACTTAATATTTAGTTCGGGGGATAAACCTAGTTAATCCAAATTTAAATTGCCATTGACATTATTTCAAACCTTTTCTTAGAGAAAATTTTTATTTGCCACTTCAGTTGAAGCACCATAATTTGATTAAGCCGATTAATCGTGTCAGGTGAAGCGAATTTGTGTCAGGTCTTAGCGGGTTCATGTCAAAAACATTCAATTCATATTTGATTCATTTATTAATTTATGTTTAATAAATCGTGTGATCCGTATCGTGTGTCAATTGTGTAGAATCAATATATAAACAAATTGTATCATATATTTCTTTTGATGAATTTCAATCATATCCAATTCGTTTATTAACTGTGTCGTGTTAAGTTCACTATTAAAAAAAAGACTCAAACCGCTAATTTCATACCGTGTTTTATTTTAACAAATTTGACCTTGAGAAATAATTGTGTAATATTTTCCTATCTTTTGCCCTTGGGAGGCGAGAACTGGGTAAACTATAGAAAATGACTTCTCGGCTAATTAGGCCTGGCCTGGCAGCTAATCAAGTTGTGCGGGCTAAGCCCCCCCTTACTCCTCCTTTCTTTTTCTCTCCAGCAGAGAAGGAGTGGTCCCAAACAACAATTTGCACCGACCTACACATAGGAATGTATACAAATACTTATATAGTACACACACACACACACACACACACACACACACACATATATATATATATATATATATATATATATATATCTTGACGTAATTTTTTTACGGTTATCGATCTAATCATACCGTGTTATTTTTATATTGTGTCATTTTTATCAATTATTGATCAATTAATTCGACCCATTTATTTAATATTATCAAATATCGAGAAACGAGTCCTACCGAATGAATTACGAGCCCTTAATATTAACATTGGGGTTCCCTCGGTTCCTTTATTAGGTTGCATAAGTTTTTATTTAAGGTAACTCTAGATTGATCACAAAAAAGAGAGAGATGAAAAATAGAACAAAAAAACGTGATAGTTGACATAGTAAGTAAATTTTAAATACCGAATGAATAAAAGTGAGACAAAAAACATTATTATTGTTGTGCTACTCAATACTTACTTTTCTTAATAACATTTAAAAACTCCTTAATTTCTTCCTCAGTTACCCCTTGCTTTAAAAATCCCAAATGAGTTGATTTAACCCCATTAGTGTAGTTTACAAAGCTTAAGAGATCAAAATCTCAAGATTTTAAATTTAAGTGTTGGAAAAATTTGTAAGTGATTGAACCACGATTAAAGTTAATCACCATTTTGCACCTTGAAGTTGTTTAAATTGTCAATTTGCACCGTAAAAGATTTAATTTTTAGATTGTATCATAGAAAAAACTGTTAGAGTATGTGTGGCTCATATTTGCTGTGTGCACAATAGTAAAGAGGCAGATGCCGGAGCGGGATTTGTATAAAGGGGACGCTGATTAGTTGGGGGTACGGTACAGAGATATTTTTGTAAATACGTTTGTATTAGAGTTATATAAATACTTAAGATATAACTCTACTTTTAATAATGAAAAAGAACGACCGCTCGCTCTCGTGGATGTAGGCACATTACCGAACCACGTAAATCTCTAAGTGTTATTTTCTCTTACTTTCTTAATTGTTTGATTTTTTATTATTTATCATAATTGCTGCACGATCACAATAAAAACACTTTAAGGTGACAAATACACAAACTGAGGTTCCTTTTTCCGTTATAATAAGTGGTGCAAAATTGACAATAAGTATTGTTTTCGGACAGAAGGGTGAATTCTGCAATTTGAGACTTAGAAATTTTTTAGGGTACAAATAGAGAGTTTGAACATTGACATGGTTCATGGGATTTGGCATATAATACGAGGTTGTCCCTGTGATAAAACTTTAGTTCCATTTGACATTACTGAGGACCTTAATGTAAGTAAGCCCATTTGCTGCCAACCAAACTACCCACTTCCCAAAGTACTCCATGCGACTCCTGTCTTTTCTTTTGTCTTCTCCAAGAGATCTGTTAAAAACACAACAGACTAACAAGAGAGAGAGAGAGAATAAGCCACCCAAGGGCAAAACCAACCTTTGTCCTCCATGCATTTCTCTTCTCTGCATGGAAACTGGTCCCCAACCCTATCCCTAAAACGATCCCCACACAATTGGCCACTCTGTCCACCCATAACTCCCCCAACTGCCAAACCCATTTACCCATTTTTGGTAATCCATTCAATGAAGATTGTAACATATAACGACAATCAATCTCTGATAAAAGTGAGTCACATTCACAAAGTCTACAATGCAGACCCTATATAGACTCGAGCTTCCGTTCTCTCTCCTTCTTTCTCTCTTTCTAACTGTTCAGATCTTATTATTGACATTGCCATAATTGCCTTTTGAGCTTTGAGAACTGTGTTGCAGCTTTTTTAGCTTAAATCTTTCGTACTTTTGCTCTCTGTGCTACTCTATGCATCCTTTCTACCTTAGCTTTGCTATAAACATTTGTAAAGAAGTGCTCAGAGTTTGTAACTTTGGTTCTGTTGTTTCTTCATTTCCCTGTTTCATTCAATACCTTCTAAATACCATCTGGGTGTTTGGGAAGAGTGTTTCCATGAACAACCCGTTTGGATTTTCCTCCTCATCTTTGCTTCCTTGTTAGTGGTCTGCATATTTTATTACACACTGTTTGTGTTTTGTTTCTTTCTCTCTGTGGAGAAAATTCCATAGCTCCAAGTGCTTGGCCTTTTGTTTCAATGAAGAACTGAGAAGAATCAAGTAGGTCAACGACAAGTTTCTTAACTTCTGCTCCCTTGTTTGGACTCTGTTCTAAGTCTGTTCCCATAATTTCTCTTCTTGAATTTTTTACAATGTATCTTAAGACACCCATGAAGAGTTTTACTATCAAAGGTTGTGCCATCTTTGTTCTCTTTACACTTTACTTGGGTGTATGGTGCAATGGAGAAGCAGAAATTGTAGCAGCTCCAATGGAGAAAACAGAGCAGGAGGCTCTGTACTCTGCTATTCAGGGGTTTGTGGGTAAGTGGTGGAATGGCTCAGACCTCTATCCAGATCCTTGTGGTTGGACTCCCATACAGGTACTTTTGTCCACACATGTTGTTTCAGACATAAAATTTCTCAAAGCACATTTTCCATTGGAAGTAAGGTTTTTTTTTTGTCATAAATATATACAACCCCCCCCCCCCCCCCCCCCTCACCCCCACCCCCACCCCCACCACACACACACACATATTGTGGGGAACAAAAATGGAATATAGTTTCATTGCTATACATTAATAGGAAAATTCACATAATTTTTTAATAGTACTTGAGGAAGAAGTTAAATATTTTAGACATCTTCACCAATGATAGAATGACTAACTATTTTACTAGCTATATTCCAAAAAAAAAAAACCTTTTTGTTACCTTTCTTTTGTACTTATAGAGATTTGGATTAGTGGGTTCCACCGATCATCCAACAACTATGGTTGGGTCACATTACTTGGTAAAAAAAAATTGGTATACCACAAATATTTAGATGTTGTGATAAATCTAATGTTATTGATATTGTCGTTGTTCATAGTAGGTATGAGATGAACACTTTTACATTGAAGCACCAAGTTTGTCCTTTTGCATTGGGAGAAATACTAGGGATCCCAAATTTGGGATCCAAAGTAATTTCCCTTTGGATTGTAGCTTGTGGATGATGATCTTTTGTGGGAGATTCTGTAGTCTTCGTACATATATGTTTATATCTCGTGAAACATAGTTCCAAGAGAAGTCATTATTGTTCATAATCAAGCATTAGAGTTTTTTTGTCAATTGTTTGTAGTAGTTGGCAAGTGTACTCCATCAATAAATCTTTCATAGGACAACTATGTGCACGAGACTTTTGTTTGTCTTAAATCCGCGTGCATAGCGGCGGTTTCTGTGCGATCTATATCTACTTAAGAAATTTAAAATGAATTGCAAAAATTAACTGTTTGTTATTGAGTTGCATTAGATGACATAATTTCAGTTAGCATGTCACAAGTTTCCTTACTGGGATTTCATTTTATGAAATTTCATTTGCAGGGTGTCACTTGTGATCTTTTTGATGGCTTTTGGTATGTCACTGACTTGAATATCGGACCCATTCATGACAATTCTCTTGCTTGTGCTCCATACTCAGAATTCCGGCCACAGTTGTTTGCACTTAAGCACCTTAAGTCTCTTTCATTCTTCAATTGCTTTGTCTCCCCCCACCATCACCCCATTGCAATCCCTACCGAGAATTGGGAAGTTTTTGCTGGGAATTTAGAATCATTGGAGTTCCGATCAAACCCAGGCCTCATCGGAGAAATCCCCTCAACATTTGGTGACCTGAAAAAGCTCCAATCTCTAGTGCTATTAGAAAACGGATTAACGGGCGAATTACCATCAAACATTGGCAACTTAATGGAATTGAGGAGGCTAGTCCTTGCCGGAAACAGGTTCACAAGCCAAATCCCTGTTAGTTTTGGTGGGTTGAGCAAGCTTTTAATTTTGGATTTGAGTAGTAATTCTCTGTCTGGTCTCTTGCCTTTGACATTTGGAGGGCTGGCTTCTCTCCTGAAGCTGGATTTAAGCAGCAATCAATTGGAAGAAAAAATACCCACAGAGATTGGCCATCTGAAGAATCTAACACTAATGGATCTTTCTAACAACAAATTTTCTGGTTGGTTGACCAAATCACTTCAAGAAATGTGTTCCTTGGAAGAGTTGGTCTTATCTAACAACCTAATAGGTGGAGATCTTATGAGCATTGAGTGGCCAAATTTGAATTTTCTAACCATTTTAGACCTCTCCAATATAGGCTTGAGTGGTGAAATTCCAGAGTCCATTGCAGAGTTAAAGAGGCTGAGATTTTTAGGTCTCAATGACAACAATCTCACAGGGGGTCTCTCACCAAAGCTAGCAGATTTGCCTAGTGTTAGTGCACTTTACCTTAATGGAAACAACTTGACAGGACAGCTCAAATTCTCTGAATGGTTTTATCGGAAAATGGGGAGGCGTTTTGGTGCTTGGGACAACCCAAATCTCTGTTACCCAACTGGATTAATGTCAACAAGCCATGTTCCATATGGAGTAAGACCATGCCAACAAGAGGTCACAGTAAATGGGATTGATCTTGAGAAGAAGTCCAAGTTGGATAATGGGAATTTGAATCAGAACTCAGACTTCATTTCCTCTTTGGGAGTCTCAAGCTGTTATATTGGTGGACTTTGGAATTTTTTTCTTGTAGAGCTATTGGTTCTTGTTCTAGTCTTGAACTTAAACCTGTAAGGTTCATTTGGAGGAAGAGATTGGATGGCCTGAGTTCACAAGATCAAACCCCTTGGGATTTAACAGGTACTCTGTCTGCATTTTCTTTGTTTTTGGTTTTTCCCGCTCCATTTGGCACACCTAACATCAAGGTATGATATGAAATGTAGTATTGATAATGCTAACCTAACATCATGTTAAAATCTTGCCTCTCTCAAATAGAAAACCCTTAGTTGTTCACATCCTTTTGTCGTGTTTGTTTATGTGTATGCATCATGTTCAATTTTCTAAAGGTATTTTATTGTTTGTACTCTGAGAATCAATTCCTTGTTACTCAACTTGGGACTTGCCCTTCACTTATACATTAATCTGTATACATAATTCTTTATTCTCACCAATCAAACTTTTACCTTCCAAAAAAAGAAAACAGGCTATGAAACTGAAATAAAAGACATAAGGGTAATAAATGATTGGATTTCACGGCACAGAAAATATATGTAAAAAAGTCCCTAGAAACAGAGAGAGAGGTAAATTAATGACTACTGGTAAATCTACATGAATATGCTGGGGAATATATGCCTTGCTAATTGCTATAGATAGGATATGAGGGGTGTAACCCCCAACAAACTCAAAAGATGGAATTTCTTTAAGTAGAAGGTAGATAATGAATTCTTATCAAGGCATGGTATTGGTGGCCATGACTTCAATGCCATGAAAGTGAAGCATAGGGGAATAGACTAATAGCCACGTGACCATATGGCTGTAGTCTTACAATGGGGTATGGGCAGACCTATATTCTGTATACAGTACGAACTGTGGCCATGGTGTTTAAAGATGGTGATGATGATGATGATAATGGGTCTGAGGCAAAGATGGGTGACTTGAAAGATCTGTCGGCTAGATCATCCAGGCCATCCTGGGGAAAAGGTTGGTGTGTTTTCCTTTTTTTTTTTAAGCTCTAACTTGTAACAGTAATTAGTTATAAACTTAAACGTTTTGATTTTAAAATTTCGTAATTTTTTCTGACCGAGATATGAGGAATTTATTTTTCATGAATATTTTAATTTTGATGTAGATGACTTGTTTTTGGTCAAACCGAGGAAGAAGATTAATCGAACTACATGTAAATTGATTTAGACACCATTATTAAATAAAAAAAAAAAAAAACTTCTCTAAGAAGTCACTTAATTAATGTTTAAATTTTGTGACAACTCTTTTAAAAATACTTTATCAACTTATTGTGCTCCAATTACCTGGTCAAAACATATGTAAATTAGTAATTCTTGGTTGGTGAGGAGCCATCTGACTTATCAAGCCTTTTACCATGACTCTAGCCATTGGTTTCCCTCTTTAACTTGTTACAATTTCACCCTAGTCAACAACCATAAAGTGGTATGCACACCAATAAGTCCACCAATCCATTGGTCGTAATCGATACGATACTTCGATCAAAACCGATTCCCATTTCCTAAGGTGTGTATAGGATCTGGATATATATTCTAACCTAGATATACTATAAATAATTCTGTTTCTAAGTTTGGAGACGAGAGTGGTAATTTTTTTTTGCATTCAAGGTGATAAACAATGAACACTACGAGCGGATGTAACTTAGAATTTGATTTGAGACCCTTGTATGGTCTGAAGATAAAGATCAGAAAATGTTATGAGACTTAACTAAACAGCCTAGTTACTCAGGTGTAGATAGGAGCTGTCAATCCAAGTAAGAAAACCCTCATCTCGATTTTGAGCCAAACTTAGATCTACTTGTGCTTGTATTTTGAAACTCTCATTAAACACCTCGTGTTAGATATCGGATTAAATCTCAGTTCGATTACAGGGTTAAAACTTACTACACGTTCGGGCCCTATTTATTTGGTTATATGATTTCAAAAATAATTATACGAAATAAAACACAGTAAAACTTGATTGAATAATAATTCAAAAAATAATGAAAATAGAAATGTTGTATTGGTGTTGATGTTGGTAGAAGGGTAGTAAGAGTGTGGTGGTGGAATTATGGTGGTGTTATTTTCTAAATTTTGGAAATGTTGTTTCTAAAAACGTACAAAATATTTTTAATTTGTTATCTAAAATCTACCTAATTTTTTTGTTCTCTATTTTCAAAAGATTACTGGTCAAATAATTTTTCTCCCAGAAATTATTTTTGAAAATAGAGAATAATTTTTGAGATACAAACTAAACACGACCTTGACTTTTCTAATGTATCCAATGACCCACTAGCATGTTTCCGTTCAACACTAATACTAAAAATCTCAATTAAAATCGTAGATACGTTTCTACAAACTCGTCGGAGATAAACACTTATGCTCCGTTTGGTGGGAATGATGGAAAATATGAGAGACACTTTTTATCATTTAAGAAAGAAAAGTAAGAATAGTATACATTTTATCCTTTGTGTTTGATAGGATAGATGAAAAATAAAAATAATTAATTTTTTTTTTTATGCTTGGTAAGATGGAAAAAAATGTATACATAATATTTGTGTATATCAAAGGATATATAAACAAATAAGATACATATCAACATAAATAATTAACTTTTCATCTATTTTCTTTCCAATTTTGGAGAAATTTATTTTAGTGAGTTAGAAAGAAAGTTCATTTATCCACTCTTTCATCATTCCTATTTTTCTTCCTTATCATGTATGATATTTTATCTATCGTTCTAATTTTTCGTTATTTCATTTTTCTATCGTATCAAACGAAACATTAGATCACAAATGCCATAAACAAAATGTCTTTAATCCGTATGAATCAATAGTCCGTGCACATGAACCTATTGACCAAAATCAACACAACCTGGATCAAAATTTTCAACTATCCACGGCAGAAAATACCAACTCCTCGTCATGACATAAGAATGAAGGAATGGTCCTCGACCGGCAGGCCTGGAGGTCAAAGGGACGGCTGGTTTAAGGTCAGACTGCCAACTGGCCCACTCTCACACAATGCCAAAGTCTCTCTTCAAAAGTCTCAAGCAATACATTGAAGTCTTGCCAAGTGGAAAAGATCCAATGCTCAGCCTGGATGATTACGTGGTAGATTTTTTATTCAAGTTTAGACGTGGCAGAAGTTTGTATGCACTCAAACAACTTAGAATGTTTATTCTGCTCTGCTTACCCATAAAATCGACTTTAAATTTGATTGATTTTACAATTTGAAAAAATCTAATAAAAAATCTAAGTTGAACCCGAGTCGAGTTCGAACAACTTGGATCATTAGAAAGTCTATCCTTGGATTATATATCCCAATTCTTAATAAAACTCTATACAGCAATGTAAAGGGAGAAAACCGCTCAGGAGTGAACCACCTTCCCACGGAAGGACAGGCTAGTGGGTACCTCTTTCATAGCAAGTCAAGACTTATATGACAGGAAAGAAGACGACTATCTCTCAATGTGAGACGAGAGGTTAAAGGCTACTGAAGACTCGGTCCAAATCAACCAAAATCCTTTCGTGGGGAGGTGGTTCACCCCTTACAGACAACTTGTTTTAAGTTTAAATGGGCACTTGGAATTTTGCCTAGCAACATCAAGAAGACTGGAGACCTCTTCCATTCCATGCCCACACCAAACTCAATTCCTAAATCAGCGTTTTTGGATACACACGTTAACTTTTCCTCTTACACTGATTGTCGGTCTTTTGCCGTCAATTACCATCTCTCTCTCTCCTCGTCAGCAATGCCTAATCGGACGGTTGAGATCAATCAAAGAAGTTGACTTTCAACATAGAAAATAATATTATTCCTAAAGTTGAAACGTACCCATGACTCTACGCCAATTGTTCAACACGTTCCCCTCGTTCAAAGCTATGACATTGCACAGTTTGATTTTTTTCCCCAAAGTTCTTTAATCATCTATATATATATATATATATATAAAACAGAATAAATTTCAATAAATTCATCCGACAGTTTTAAATAGACTCATTCAATAACTACTAACATCCCTTCGAAAATCATTCATAGTGCACTATGACTTTAAATATAGATTAATTGAACTTAATTTTGTACAAGATAGTAAAAAATAATATTATAATTTACAGTTTAATGGAATAAATGATTCTTGATAGAGTATAATAGAAAATTAACGACGGCTTCGTGCGATTAACAAGATTTATAGTTTGATATGTCATAAATTATTTTATCTCAGTTGTTTCTTCAATTCATTTGAGTAGAAAATAAGAGAAAAGAAAATGATGAAATTGGGAAATAAGTAAAGAAAAAAGAGTGGGAAGTCGGTGAGAATAATGGGGGAGGGACATATGTGTAAGACCATTGATTGAGTGAAAGATAGTTTTTATAAAAAAGAAAAATCTAAATTCTAAAAAACTATAGAATAAGGACAGATTTATTCTCTCAACACTAAATTGTTTGCTATAGTAGATAACTAGCAACCGTCCCATGCGATAAACAAAAATTTTAGTATCTCTTCATTGCTACCGCTACCCCTACTACTAGCTCATGTTAACATTATTAGAAAATTACTTACTAATATGTTAAATTGATTTTTTTATACAAATTAAAATGTAAAATAATTAATAAAGATGATAAAAAATTCAAATGAGAAATACTTATCAAGAAATTATAAGTGATTATATGAGCCGTATGTATGTTTGGAATTCAATTGTAGGATACAAATTAAATAATTTAAAAATAATAAATAATAGAATTTGAGGAGGAAAACATCTCAATATAAATAGAATTCATGTAATCGATCCCAATAATTTGATTAAAAGTTTTGTTGGGGATATCATTAGATTTTATTACATATGGTTCATTTAAATATGAGAGAAGACTACTTATTTGGTTTGTTTAATAAGAAATCTAAGTGATTGACACTAAGATTTTGCCCTAAAATCAGATGTCTATCACTGTCAATATTTGTTGTTATCCAAAATCAAGGGTCCCGTAAAGCTTGGATTTTTGTGGTAGCCTCACACGCAAAAGATCCCATTCGTTGTAGATAAAGTATGATTAAAACAATAACCTAACATTTTCTTCATTCATTAGTGCCCCCCATACCCATGCAGGTTTGGTAATTGTCCATACAAACTATGAGTAATGTTAGATGAATTTAAAAATTAGATTTGATAATTTTAACTATTGAATAGATAATGGTCTTAATAAATGTTAGGACCCACAGTGAAATCAATAGTTATAATTATCAAGTCTACTTTTAAAGTTCATGTAGTATTACTCTACAAACTATTTGATGAAATTTGACACGAAATTATTGAGCATGCGTTTAATTTTAATGACAAAGTGATTTGACAGAGTCTCTTAATAAATGAATCGACTTTAACTTTGTAAAAAACAAGCACCAACTCCGTAATATATATATATTAGTCATAATCCGTACCTGAAGACACGATAAAATATAAAATTCAAACATCCAAAAAATCAATCTCATTATATTAATTTTTTTTTCAAAATATATTAATTACAAATTAATCAAATATTAAATGATTAAATATATGATAAAAATGAGTGATATGATGTTTTTAGGGAAAAAATATATAAATGATTAAACATATGATAAAAATAAGTGATATAATTTCACGTTTGAGTCCGATAAAAGGATGATGGATGAGATAAGTGATTAATGATGATTTTGAGGAAAAAAATATGATTGAAACAAAATTCAAATACACTCCTATTTTATTATATATATGATTAAAAATGATAGTTAGGTCGTGAATTGAATGATGCTTTTAACACAAAACGATTGAAACATAATATCAGCTCGATTTAACACGGCCGATTGTCAATCTTTAAACATAATACGACCTTGACATGACACGATGACATAGTTATCTCAGTATATTTAAATGACCCAACCTCTGCATGCGATAGTAACCAAGGTAATTATATGGATTATCACTGATAAGAGGCTACCTATTTATTAGTTAACTAATTATGAACATCGCAGTTAATTTCGAGCTTTTCGGGAACTTAAAAGCTTCTGTCTCACCTTCTGAGACCATTTGATTACTTTTCACTTGCTACAAAAGAGATCAAAAGAACTTAAACTCTAAAGTTACGTAGGTATTTGTTCCAATGGTGCACTTACCTTGTAAAAAATTAATTTTATGAGATCAAGGGTGAAAGTCTTTTGAGAGACAAAAGCGTGATTTGTTGATAGGACGGATTTCAATTATTTAGACGAACTATATCAAAATCTCTTATGTATGTTTAAATCTCCACCGAAGTGCAAGTGAGGGATCGATTCATGCACCCAAGATTTGCCCTTGGTTCTACTCAAATTCACAAACCTGAGCAAATTAAGTGTCTCTTTCTCGTCCAGATTAGATCAGGAATTTCTCTCATCATAAAAAAAAAAAAAAAAGAAGTTGCACATATAGAAATGGAAGCTACCATTTTTCCTAAAAATATTAAAAAAAAAATTGGTATAAAATAATCAATGGTGGCATAATTTTTCAACCCAGGATTTAGAATTTGCTGGGAATAATTGAATTGTAAGCTATGCGTGCAAGAAATTTCTAGGAAAAGCTTTTGATATTAAACCATAGAAAAAATAAGCCGGCATCCTATAACTTTCTCGTATTTGTTTTTTTTTTCAACCGTTGACATTCAAAATTCGATAGTCATTGGCGTGCGGTACACTTCTCTCTCCTCTCTTTCCTAGCCCTTTACATCCCAATTTGCTAACCTTTTCTTCTTCCACATGCGGCCATGCACATACATATATAAACACCTACTTACTTTAAAAAAATTTATTACACACCCAATTTCCAAAACCCTAATCCACATAACTCTCTCTCATCATGGCTTCATCTTCATCATCTTTGAAACCTCTACATCTTCCATGGCACTTTTTATATGTTCTCTTTCTTCTCTTCCTTCTTATTAATTCGTGTTTCGCAATGAGAACCGGGAGGATGATGATGGGGGAAGGAATTTCAAAAGGGTCATTGGAGCATATGAAGCACTCTCGATTGATACAAGAAAGTGGGTATCGATATCGTAGCTTGGTATTCCAAAAATTACCAAAAGGGGTATATGTTCCTCCTTCTGGTCCATCCAACAGGCACAATTCAGTGGTGAACTCTTCTCCTCAAAACTGAAAAGGCAAACGAACATTCATCTATACACTTTTGTTTATTTTCTTTTTGTTGCTTAATTTCTCTCTCCTCTCTCCTTGTATTGTATTGATTAAAGGGTTGCAGATTTAAAGATTTTTTCACGAGGCCTAGCCCTAACAGATCAGATCCCAAGTAGCTGAGATTTAGGTCGTGTGATTGGTTTCTTATTACACTGTATAGAAATTTAAGTTTATTCCATAGTATTTTCTGTAACTATACTGAAGATTGTATCAGTCTACACTGTTCTATGTTGAGGATTTGTCTATGATGATCGGTTTGAGCTATAGCATCCATGAGATGCTTTGTTTTTTGCAGTTAAAGATCAAGAAGCCAAATTTTTTGCAGAATGATTTAGTTTATATATATATAGATATATTTCATTCTTTAGTTATAAAATCTCTCTCTCTCTCTCTCTTAGACTTTGGATGTTGATTTTGATCGCCAGCAGTTGATTTTTCTTACATCACTGTAGCTAAGAAGGATTCTTTTTTTGTTTTTTTTTTTGTTGGGTTGGTTGGAAGCTAAGAAGGTTAGAATGGCTATTCATTGAAAGCGTCAGTCAACGGGCCTTGGATTAGTAGACTAGGCTTGTGGTGGCTTCACCAACCTTTTTAAATCTTCATTTCAATGTTGAAAGCAAGGTTAGGATTGCTTGAAACTTGAAAAAAAGCTTCATCGTCTTCATCACCATTATGCAACCATTCATAGATATAATATAAATATATGTGTGTTTGTGTGTGTATATTATATATATACAACCTTGCTTGGGGGCACGTTTCCCGATTTGGTGGAATTTTAGTCCAACTTTTGCAGCCAATGAATGTTTGGGAAATAAAGATGGCAATGAATGTGAAAAGTTGGTCATAACATAAAGATAAATTATTAGAGAATAGGTCAAAGACAGTGGTTTTTACTCACAAGAAGAAATAATGTTAACACATGAAAGTTGAAGCATGTGTTGTGTAAATTTATAATATCTAATCACATAAAGTCTCAAATAACACACATTTGCCTTTGACCATCCAAAAACTGCCAAAAAGTTTGTGGGCTGGTAAAGGGGAAAGTTTGGTTTGTTGTTGTCACCAAGTTGTGGGGCATCAAAATTTGTTGAGTTCATATTATGTATAAGTCGTACATAATAAGATTTGTATGGGACCTCCTAATATTTGTGTGAACAAATTCTTAAATGGGTTTAGGACCAAAATCTTATCCGAGCCTTTTATAATAGAGTTGCAGGTTGGTGGTTTGAGTTCCCCTCTCCTATAGTGTAAAAAATATCGTTGCCTATCTAAAATAAAATAAAATAAAAAATTGTTAAATGGGTTTGCTAGTCCATTTAATCTCGATCCAAACATCGTACGAAAGATTAAACTCATACTTGATAATTTCATGTCAATCTTAGGGTAACAAGTTGTGTTTAAAATTGATAGTTCTAGCCAACAACAACAACCCACAAACTCAAACCTATTTATAAGCGCCTAGAGGGTCTGTTTGGGCTGTAAATGCCAAGCTTCTCTATTCTTTGATGCCGATTACCCAAATATAACACCAAGTTTCATGTCTGTTTGGCTGATTTCATTTTTTGAGCAATTATGCATAGAATTATAATGGGATTATATTTTTAGGGATCATTTGGTTACGGTATTAAAAGATGAATTATAGAATTATAACAGATTATATGGCTACCAAAAACCCTCTGTATTCCTACCCGTACTATTGAACCGATTGTAATATCATTTGGAGAGGTGATATTATAATTCAATTAAAGCATATTAGGTTATAAATTTACTATTTTGCCCATAAAATAAAAAAAAAATGAAGAACTAGACTAGATTGATATTTTTGATCAATATGTAACTAGTACTCTATTATCCCACTCTTAATCTAGTGTTTTACCAAACACTGGATTACAATAAGTATCCTTGGTATCCCACATTTTAATGTTTGTGTTTTATCCATTTATACGAGATTAGTCTATATACAATCTATTTTTTTACAATACGGTAGATATTAGAACATCGGTTTCAATTTGGCACCATGAAGCCAATTAATCGAGGGGGTAGGCAAGGGCTCATTTACATGCCAATGTTTTCACTCGCTATGTTCGTTATATATTATATGGGTACTTATTGAGCTCGTTTGGTTGCCGTATAGTAAATGAAAGGTTTGCATTAGTTAATACATGTTAAATTTGTATAAGCGGATTAAATATGGGATAAAGTTAATACTAATTTTAATCCAATGTTTGGTAAGACACTCAATAAGAGTGGAATAATAAAGTACTAATTACATATTGACCAAAAAATCATAAATCTTATCTAATTATTAATATGTTTGTTTATTTGATGGGTAAAATAATATTATCAGTAATTCTCTGAGACTTTTTACCTCTGTTCGCTATTTTGACAATTAAATAGGGTTTCTGCTTTTGATATTGCGACGACAGAATCAATTACAACTTCCTAGCGTTCACTTACGAAACTAGGTTTGATCCATGGGCCAATGGCTCAATTAGCCCGTCCCATAAAATTCAAGCCCAAGTTTAAAAAAGGGCTTTATGGGGCTGGGGCTACACTAACTTGGTCTGGTCCTGTCTTGCAAGATAAAGTCATGGTTTTTTGCAAGGATTAGGTAATGGGGTTCAAGACCAACTGCAGCATAATGAATTGATTGTACATTGGATTGAACAATAATCTAGGCTCGATGACTGAGCTTGAGCTGAGTTTGAACAGACCTTGAATAGCTCGAGCGGAGCTTGAGTGTAGTCAAGTTCAGAAAACTCGACTCGATTAATACCCTTATGCATATATATACTACTGCTACTTGGATATATAGACTCGCCGGTCTAAGTGAAGAAGATACTCGAACCTTGTTACAGTAAGAAGTTTTAGGTATGTTTGGTTTTAGTGTACGGGTGTATATGGACAGTAGAATAAGGGAGGATATCACAGGTTGGATATCATAATTTAACCTGGGGCCCACATATACCATGTTTGCAAAGCAATTTTTGTAACTGGATAAATATTGTGGGCCAATCCCTACCCAAATGCTACCATAGATTTTACGAAAAATTATGGATAGGTACCATATAAATTATTTATTTGTGACAAAATATTACGCAAAAACTCTATTATAGATAAGTATTTATAATTGTAAATGTCTTGTATCTGGATACACAATGATAGTTTTTTAAATATTTATTTTACCTAAATATGTTTTTTCATAATTTATGAACAGTGTTTTTAGGCAATTACCTTATTTTGTGGGATTTGATTATTATATCAATAGATTCTTATTTTAATAGATGAAGACATTTAAATTTTAAACCTACATATTGTTCTTTCTATTCCACGTTTGATTTTCTGTCTAAGTCATTACCGATTTTTTCATCAGTCAACAATATCATCATCTATTATTATTGTAATTTTTTATCATTCCATTCAGGAAATTTTATTCAATTATTGTTTCATAGATATCTTAATGGATTTGTGATTTTATATTCGAATAACAACATCACGTTTGGGAATATATATTATATGTTAATGTAACGACTTGTTGATTTTAAATGTTAATTAGCGGTGATTATTAATCAACTGTGTAGCCTTCCGTTAGTGTCTAGTGTGTTATTACAATGTGACACAATGTTTTGTTACAATGTGAGGAGCAGTGTTAGATATAATTAACTCATTACTTTTATGTTACATTGTGATGTCATACTATGTAAAGCATATCATTTAGTTTGTGAAGCAATTAAGCAATGTAAATACACTTTTTTTGTCACAGTGTGACAAATAGAATAGTGTCAAGTGTGTTGTTACACTGTATTCTTGAAACCGTACTTTTGTCGTTGTAGAATATGAATACGTTTTTTCAAAAACTCTCTTTTTCAGGATGATGAAATTGGTTGAGAGAATTTTTTGGAATTTTAAATCTTTTCTTAAATACCCATTTTTATTGGGGGAGTAAATTCTCTCTTTAAAGATTAAATTTTGAAAGAAAAATCATTCTCTTGATTCTTGTAAAACACTTTCGTTAATAGCATAGCATCTTTATCACAGAAGAGTGTATATAAGGTTATAATAGTCTTTTTTCACTATTAGATGAACTCCTTTTCAAAATGTTTTTTAGAGAAGATTTTTTCATAAATAAGTATATTATGGTGTACCGACCTTTAAAAAATCCTAAATTTTATCATTTCTATTTGGGTTTATTTTAAACCATGTTAAGGGTGGGTTAAAATCTACCAGATCATCTCCAATTATGATTCAAATTTAAGTTGGTATTTGAATAAAAAACTTGAATTGATACAAACTGCTCCAATGGATAAACTCAAATTTAAAAAAGAAAAAACTTAAATTTAAATGAGGGAAATCCAAAATTAAATGAGAGTAAAGATTATTATTAGATCTTTAAAAGATAGTGAAATTTCACAATTAAATATTTGAGTAATTATTTGAGTCTCTCTTAATTTGAGTAAAAAAAAAGAGTCTCTCTTAATTTAATATAAGTTTGAGTAAGAGTTGAAATAAGTTTTTTAGACTTTTTTACTCAAATTTAAATTTAAGTCTAAATTTGATTCAGGATTAGAAATGTCCTCGCCAATAAAATAAATTGTCTTACTTATTATTTTGCCCTCAAAAGTCATTTCAACCTATGGTTTCTTCACTAGTAGGGAACTTGTTATTGGGCATTATGGTAAATTTGTAATTAAATAGCCTTCAAATCATCCATCACATGGAGTAATGCATGGAGCCCACAAAATTTCAAATTCAATTGCCAAAAATGAGATTGGCTAGGAATAAACATTATTTTTAACCTTGGCACCAAAATTGGGATGAATTAGATTGGGTTGGGTTAGTTAAAATATGAAATTTTAAATTTATCATATGCACTTAGACGATCTGAGTGTATTGTATTAAAGAGTTTTTTATTTTTATAGTTAACTTTTTAAGTGAAGGGTAATAATATAGTTAATTTTTTTT